TGCAGCTACCGGTACAGAAGTGGAAGTGGAAGTCGCAGCAGCGACTGAAGTAGTGGATGAACTAGATGGTCTTCCCAATGCTGCACAGCTGAAACCTCCCGTAACTATTTGAATAGTTTCGCATCCAGTCGTGTTGGTTTTTGCTTGGGTAAAGATATTATAACTTCCATCTTCACCTGGTCCAGTTGCTGGACAGGCTACCCAATCTTCAGTTGAGTTGTTGTAGTTCAGGTTTCCATTATTTCCTAGTGTGAAAAGAGTAACGCCAGAACCTTCAATACATTGAAATTGAGAAGTAGTAGGAGAGATACTGCAAATGTGACCTTCGGCATCGGTGAGCACTTTGGCATTAATGCTATAGACACCTTGAGGCCAGGAGCCACCAATGCGATTTTCTCCAATGGTGGTTTCGACAATGGAACCGGTTGGATCACCAACGGCAGCCATGGAGAAGGTACACGGAACGCTTTGTCTTCGGAGAACAGCAGCATTTGCAGTGGCTGCAAGAGCGAGGAGAGAAAGTGAGTACTTCATGATGAAATCTTCAAGAGTTGTAGAGAATTTGTGTGTTTAGGTAATTAGGATTGGAGACTGAAGATTGAAGATTGAAGATTTAAAAAATGAGTACAAGTAATAAGAGAGAGAGGATGAATTTGAGGAGGTTGATATGAAGGAAGTGGAGGAGAGGTAAGTGTTTCTATTTTGTATCTAAGTTGAGGTGAGGTGAGGTGAGGTGAGGTTGAGGTGAAGAGGGGCTGTGAGGGGCTGTGGTACAACAAGGTAGACGGTGGTTCGATTGATTGAAGCTTTGACAGCTCTCAGCGTTATGCGTTGAATTCAAATCAGCAATGGCGGGTGGCTATTGCTGGTGGCTATTGCTGGTGGCTATTTTGTTGTTGTTGATCCTAATTCGAGTGAAGGAGGTGCGAGTCAAGTAAGGAAGAAGGATGAAAAGATGGAGATGGGATTAAGAAAGGAAAGAAGTAATCTGGATACGGTATATAGGTACTTAAATATCTCAACTAATGAAAAACATCAACCCATCTACCTCTCTACATAGATACATTACATATTCTTGCATATCCTGTTGATTCATTACCTCTTTACTAGAACAAAAGATTCAAGTCTCACCACTTTTCCTGAACAAGCATTGATTTGTTTGTTTGTTGTCGGGTTTGTACGATACATCCACATCCACATCCATCGTCATCATCTACCAGGTAAGGTTACTCTGTCAGTATCACACCAGTATTACCGATAATCGTATCGTACTCTGTATAACATTACTGTGGGGAAAGATTAAACACCCTTGCACGTTGTATTCCTTCGTATTCAAGAATCCAATCCAATCCTTCTTTAGGAATCTGATAACCTGGAGAAGGATCTTGAAGATGATTAGATGATCTTTGACCAATTGTAGTATTTTGATGTGCAGCCGAATGCATTACCTTAGGTGCAATCCGAGAATAGAATGTCTATGTATTGGTGGCGATGACATCAAAGCTCATTCACTCACAGTATACATCCAAAATCTTCACAAGAATACCAAATATCATCAAAGAAAGTCCTCCCTTTCACCAACATAATATTATACCTACCTAGATACATTTACCATCTACCTCATTGGCCAAGTCTTTATATATCACATGAAACATCAATACACCCAATCTATACTTCATCTGGTATAAAAGTGGCTGGAAAATGGGGCTGATGAACGCTTCTTCACTTCGATAAACCCCTGATTAACGGGTATGTGCTGGTGATTTTTGGGATCGACAGTGGAGTTACATCCTACCCGTTATTGTGCGGTAAAGTAAACGCTGGGAAGACGGAGGGAGTAGGGTGGTAGTAGGTAGCATGTATTCCGTCATTAATGATGATTGTTGATCTGATGAATTCTTTGGTGTCACTTGGTATTTTGGCATGATGATGGTAGAAAGGGAATGGAATGGAGATGGCGATCAAAACGCATATGGAAACGTTACATACGAGAGAAACGAGGTCTTGATTCGTATTTGCTTTTGATATCGATACTGATATTGACAACGATCCTCACATTACCCAGTGAAAACAACACAAGAAACCTTACACGGCATTGAATACTGCATATACGTTATCTGACACTGATATCTGCATATATATCTCAATCTCGTATTTTCTACTCAATACAACCCGCATACCAATTCTAGAATAACTACGGGTGTCTACAAAATACTAGGTAGGTGGTATCAACAATCATTCTATTCATTCCATTCCATCATACTAATTCCATCTAGGTATCTATCACAATCTTCCATCCATTCCATTCCTCCCTCAAACACGATCACTCTAAAGATCTGCACAAACTTTCCCTGGTTTTCTATCCCTCCCTCCATCCATTCATCCATCCCGTTTCAGTCTCATATTAATATGATGAAGATATAATAATTGAGATAGATGAGAAGATTATTCTTGCCGCTCACTGACGCTTTAAATTCCTACATCAAAATTGTTTTGCAAAGAACATCAAAATAACCCTAACCCGCATTCCCTCACATTATGGATACCCCATCAATCCACCCGCTACAGATAGATATCAGGATTCGCATCTCTATCCGCCTCCTCCGTCTCATGTCTACACTACGATACCTAGGTACACCACATACCACATCTCCTCGTTTTCATCAATGAAACCAATAATCATCCTCTACCTCGATCCCCATTTCTTAACCATCCCATACTATTCCTTCTGCCCCAGGATCAAAGCATAACAAACTTTCTTCTATATTCCATATCGTGATCTATATCCATCTTCTTTCTATCTCCTATCTTCCATCTAACCCGTACCCTTCCATCCCACCAGCGCTTGCACAATCTTATTTCAACATCCATCCATCCATCCACCCATCCATCCGTCCATTTACGCGCCTATCAAGTTTCTCATATATTACCAGGCGTACGGAGTATTTCATTTCACATCTTCCATGAATAAGCAGATTCTATGATATAAGATCAGGTATCCAGCTTCCAGATTACATCTTTTCAGAACATAACCTCGTTGCCTGGAGAAAGAATTCATCACTAATAGAAAGAGGGGAGGATTGTGCCGATACGGTAATACTAAAAATTCGAGTATACACCCATGTTTTTAAGGTTGTGCGTAAGGTTACAACGAGTTGAAATATCAGTGATATCTACTCGCTCGCTCGTTTAATATCTCACTCATCTCTATTGTGTCAGGACATATATATATAGGTATCAAGATTATATCTATAAACCCCATTAAGAAATAATAAAATAGATATTCAAATGAGCTTCTGGAAAGACGAGAATCCATCTATCTTCTCTGTGATTTCAAAAGCGATGTCATAGTATCACGTATGATTGTAAGATTATCTTCTGAGAAATTGGAAAAGTGTGTGTCGGATGTTTTTATATAGTGTGTATTCTTCTCGTACTGACATGTAGGTAGCTATATAGGTAGAGAGTCTTGCTTTCGAGACAGTTTGATATATAACCACCTACTGTACTCGGAGGTCTTGGACTATTATATTATTTCCACTTCGCTTATTCTCAGCTTCAAACTGGAACTTCATTTCCCATCATCCATTATCCATTCAGTCACTCACTCATCAAAGAACCTTCCCAAGTTCCACTACAAACAAGCCCCTTTCCATGACAAACCCAACTTACATTTCAAAAAAGTCAAAAACGTCTAAGCAATCCATTCCATTCCTTTTCCCCTCCCCGCCACCTCCCTCACTCCCTCCCTCCCTTTTCCCTACAACACCCCACGCCCGATAATATAGGCAAGACTCCCTCACGTACACACACCCAACACGCCACGAAATTCCTCTTCAATTTTCCTCTTCGTCAACACTCTTCCATCCATTCTCCCACCCCCAAGTATGAACATCTCTCCTTTCCCTCTTCCTCCTTCAACCCCACCCCATCTCTCTATATCTTTCAAAAATCTTTCCAAATCGCAACTCTACTCTCTCCTACCTTCCTCTAAAATATGAATAGAAATATCTCCGGAGTATATGCATATTTAATGAAAAGAAAGAAAGGAAGAAAGAAAGGAAATACTCAATTATATACCTATACATACAAATACACAGTCCCCTCTCCCCTCCCCCCCCTCAAAAAACAAATCAAAAAGCACCACAACAAAATCTCAACTGCACACACCCTTCTCCCTTTCTCAAAACTGCATATGTATGTATGTATATATATATTACTCCCATATAACCCCAAATCCATTAACATCCATTCAACATCCATAAAGATAATTGAAATTCTTAAATCAAGATAAAAAAACTATAGAAAAAACAAAGCTACATCCACCTATAAATAAAAATAAACACCCACCAACTTTCCTACAAACTACCATACACCTACCTACCCATAGCTCGTCGCCGACTAAAAGCATAAGATAAAATTGATAGCAGAGTAGAATATAGAATACTCTATTCTACTAGAATCCAATCTAATCTCATCTCCAACTCTCTCGTCTTTCTTCACTCAGTCACTCACTCTCACTCTGCCTGCCTACCGTGAGGACAAAAATAAAAATAATAATAAAAAATCTCACCGGGGGGAAGTTCAAAGTCAGATCCCCAAGTTCAGAGTCCAAGATCCCAAGTCCCAAAGTCCAAGATCCAAAACCCAAAGAAAAGAAAAGAAACCTCCATCCCATCACACACTTAGGACAACCACAAGCGCAATCACAACCACAACCACATTTAACACTGCAACCGCACTATTTATTTATATTGCATATAGAAAGAAAGAAAAGAAATAAAAACTATCCTCCACATCTCAAGCAAGCTCTATCAATCCTCAATCCTTTCCACCCCCTTCTCCCTGCATTCCTCGTAAGTTTCTCTCCCCAGATTCCCAGGTTCCCAGTTTCCCAAAGTCCTCTGTATACGATGATAGAGTGAAATACTCCATATCCTCTTCAAACCCATCTCCAAACCCTTTCATCCTTTATTCTTCCGCCAAGTTCCAGTACGACAAAAATACAAAAAACAAAAATACAACCACAGAACCCTTCTTAAACCTCAACACCATGCATATCCAGAGGGAAAAAAAAATCATTCGAAATGCCTCAAACTTCTCCAAATCGTTGTCATCAACCTCCCAACTTCAAGTCTGCTGTACTCTGTAAGATAATGAAAAAAAAAATATATATATACAACCTTCGATACAAACAATAGTCAGACAGACACGTAAACCTTCTACCCATCCATCTCGAGCAATGATTCACTAAACCTCAAATCCTCAATCCATAAAACACCGCTGCATATCAACATGAATAACCACTTACAATTTCAACATAACATACACACAGCCCATTCCTCATTTCTCCTAAAAGAGAGCACCACTGATAGAATAAAACCTACTATGCAATAAAGACATGACACATCACAATTACTACCCACAAATATCGAAGTAACCATCTTCGCCCAAACATCAAACATCGAACATCGAACAAAACCAGCATACCAATCTCAGATATAAAGTTCAATAAAACCACTAGCAAGAACAGTAATCTCCTGTTACCCAAACATCCCAAGCTCTGAGCTATCGTGATGAACCAAGGTCGAAATTTCCCTCTAGCCTTTCTTGGGAAGAACAGCTAGTCGAAGAGCTTTTCGCTATTGGTGAGGAAATTGAGGATCCTTGTGTCAGAATCTGCAGATGATGTGGTATGATAGATTGAGTTGGTTGACGTCGAATGAGAATTGTGCTATTGTAGGTTATTAAATCAATGAAAATGATATACGGAAGTTTGATATAGCTTAATAACCACACTTGTTGAATTATGACAAAGCAAGAAATACTTATATTAACGAATTCTGCATTGGCTGGAGAAACTATCATATAGGAAACAAATCCATAAAAAGTCTTCAGTCAATAACTCTTAAGTTGATCGGACATTGTAATGTTTTCATCAATCAATTATCCACTAGGTGATTGTAATTACAGCCTCGATCTTCCCCAGCTGAAATCCAAAAGGTTCAAAAACGCCATTTCATCCTTTTCATAAAGTCATCGTAATCATTATAATCATCACTTCTAATATCAATTCAGCATAACAACACACACATTTAACCATCCATCCGCATAACTCGCTTCCCTCATTAAATCCTCCAATGGTGCCTTGAACGGAACTGTTGCCCCATGTAAGATGACATCCGCTAAAATCGCATCTCTCCTACTTGGAAACAAACTGGGAAGAATAGTATTGAGGGCCCCTCCCAATGTTTGAGGTTCACGAGATGCAGTTTGTGGTTGTATGAGAGTTTGTACCGTTTTAAATGCGAAAAGTGGTGGAGGTGGAGAAGAAGTACCTGGAGCTTTTGATGAACTCGAGGAAGCTGGATGAGGAGTTGAAGATGGAGATGAGAATGAAGGTAGGTATATACGTAATGGAATATGTTTTAGAGGAGTAGCGGGGTTGAGGAGGATGGTGGAAATCTTGAGGTAGGTGTGAAGATCGTCTGGGGATTTTATGAGATTAGTTTATGCTATGTCGTTGTTGTGTATGAATGTAGACCAAAAAGGCATCATACTATCTTGAACTGAGTTCCATAATTGTGTCGAATGTTCTTTTGACATGCTCATGATCCCCTTTGCATTTCCATTGCGTATGAAATCGGCCTGGAATTAGATTGTTAGTAAACGAGGCTAAAAATGACTCGAGGGAGGGTAGATACTTCTTTGACGCTATTGATAAAAGTATCATGAATATCAAAAGATGGGCCATCTCCTAACTCTATTCTCCATGGCAATTCTGGTTGATATAGATCACATAAAAGACCGACTGGTAGATTCTTCAATAGAATTCCTTCATAGGAAAAACTTGTAACATTTTCCCCGAAGAAAGAGAGCAATCGCGGGAGAAGGAGCGGCAGATAAGAGACTCGGGGTATATTGATCAAATAAGGTATTGTAGAAGAAGGATGAGTGATATACAACGGTATATGAGAGGCCCAAACGAGGGATTGCATAACGAGAGTTCTGTGGTCTTCAACATGTATGTTTCCAAGTGGTGTTCATGCCCACCTAGGTAGTAAGGCTGTGAGGTTAATCTTGGAAGGCTACCACATCTGTTGCAAGCGACTCAGCACTCGTTAAGGTTTAGCTCGTAGTGACTAATCGTGCAAGGCTGAGGCTGAGGATTTGCATCGATACCTAGGTATTGCTTGCTACGCGAAGTTTCATACTTCGGATATTAGGTGATCAGACTTTAAACTTGCAAAATTTGAACGTTGGGCATACTTTTGGAGCCAATTCTAACGCTCAGAACTTCCTTTACAATTGAACTGGTCGATGATGCAGTGGCGGTGAGAAACCTCATAGATTTTAGAATTACCAGCAACGAAACCATCGAAAAGAAGAGTCCGAACGTAGCGGAGAGTGTTTCTCCGCACTGGTAGCTCACCGGCCAGCCTAAGGTCCGGAAGGATCCTCATTATAGCAAAGTCCACTTGATGTCTCAACCTTGTCCTTGTTTTAATATTGGTACCTGATGCTCATTTGAAGCCGATTTCAATACAGTTCAAGAGATCCCTGAAACATCAACACGCGTTTGAAAGAGAAGCTATAAGAACTAGAGAACTAAGTGTCCACTACAGGTAAGTTCCTAGAACAATCAACTGGAAAGTCTAAGCGAAAGATGTTATATACATACTTAATCCTATATTCGAGCTTACTAAATAGATACATGGTGGACTTATTTCCGCCCAAACAGGGTCGCTCCCAACTTGAGGAATTCCACTTCCTTCCCAAATCTGGCGTACGGCTCGCAAGAAATCATGCCATCCATTCCCTCTATTCCAAAAGCTCTTCGTTTTAACTTTTATGAGTCTCTCATGCATTCTTCTAATCGCAATAGGGGCCAATTCCGAGCTGAACCTTTTCGATACTTACTGAATCCTGAATCAATATATCGATCGTGTGGCAATCTAGACTCCATATCCGAGGTATCCGGTATGCCGCGCGATTCGTCAAGGCAAGCAAATAATTGCAGAATTCCGTGGACTTCACGTCGTCTTCTATCTTGATGGCTTGTTCCAATTTCCGAGCTTTCGAAGAAGTATTCAAACTCCCACACATACAATCTCAACAGGATACTTTGCGCTTGCCAACTCTAGAGTGTATACCATGTCACGTTGTATTACAATTTAGAGTATGGCCCTGGTGCCCCCGATACCAGAGAGCCAGCAAATGATCTTCCTTGATCTTGTCGCGTATCTTCTCCACAACGAAAATCCTTGGTATCCTTAGAGCTTGGACTGTAACGATAATCTGGACAAGATGTTGATTTGCCATTGCAGACATTCTTCTATGCTGTTATATTAACGTTCGCCTGAACATGACAAGTAATCGTCACAGGAGCCCCATTGAGTCAATTTAGGGGTATGGAGATGATGGGTGACAACATGTCACATTGCCACTGCAGTTCCCAAAGCTACTCAGTACAAACTACTAAAGTGGACATGGACATTAATTATACAGCCTGCATAAGTAACAAGCATTAGGAAGAAAGGTTGTTCCCAATTGATTACCCAACACACTTTATGCATGGCTAATGGAGGAAGTATTAACGTCGAGGTATGTAATTCGTTGAAAACTCTACGCTTAATATAAGTCCAACAATCCTATGATAAATAGGCACGGAACCAATTTCCTAAAATTCAGATGGCACGTAAGCTCTTTCTTATTTTATCCATTCCTTCGGGTCTATGAAGATGTCTATCTGCCGTGGTAGATTTTTACCATTGCAACCATTGAATCAATCGATGCACACAGACCTATGTCCTACAATGTATTCATTACCGACATTAGCAAGGAACTTTCATAGAAGGTCAAAATACCTCCTAGAAGTTTCTTCAAATTTGCGCACAGAATATTTGGTTACACTAATCACTAGGCAACGTGTCACCAAAAGAATCATCCGAGCCAGCGCCGTCTTTCAAAACCACATCAGGCTTCAGAAGTTCAATGGGGGTCAGTTTACACTTTTTTTTAGAAATACGCGAAATTTTAGTTAGTCTGTAGATCATCTAGATATATCCTTCCGGAAAAGCTTGCGGCTGGCAGATTACTGTGTCTCGTCAGCTCATCTAGCTATTTTCTTATCTCCCCTGTCTCCCTTGTTCTCGATCCATCCCGCAATCTTCGTGTCATCCTTGTTTCTCACGTTTGCTAGAATGAACATGGAATATACACTCTCCCTAAGATGGTGAGGTTCCCGGGTTCTGGGATAGGAGAAGACTTTTCTAACTGAATACTTACGAATAGTATTGGCCAAGAGAAGCTGGGATGTTCGATGCGGAAGAAAGGAAGGTATTGGGATACAGGTACAGATACCTTGTTCTTACAATGGGTAGGGGACTCATTGCAAGGAATAGACAGTTTTATTCATCCATTGGCCTGATCTACAAATGTCACAAACCTATATGCGGATCGATATGTAAGGTCCAGACTTTCCAGTAAAGCATATTTTTTTGGTCTTTTTGGGTTTTCGTTCTTCTCAATCTTGCTCATGTTACTATCTGTTGTTCTGGCATCAATAGATCATTGCCTGAATACTTGATAGGCATGAATTTATCTCCATGTTGACTTAAATGCAAGTCCTGCTATCACTCCCTTTTGAAAGTACTGAATGGGCACCGGGATTCCGCAAGAGGCCATAGGTGCTTCTGCTGCCGTCCTGACATACTCATCTATATGCCTCATTTTGGTCACCTTACTCATTTGTATGCTATGGACCTATGGTGAAAGATGGACCTGTAAGTTGCTTTATCAAAACCTATACCAATACATCTAACAAGATAGATGTGACATTCCTCGCAAAGTTCTCTGCTTTAAGCACACTTGGATCTATCGCACAGCAGATACATTATAATCGCTCTTGGCTCATAGTTAAGCATGATGCTTATGCGACGGCTTTAAAAGCTGTAGACACACCAGCTTTGGGGCTTTCGGGTGTGGGAAATAATGTGGATCTTGTACTATTTACAATTCGTAAGTTCTCATCCCGATGTTGCCAGTCTGAATGATTGCTAACCTCTTGACTCAGAATTCTATTGTTATAATGTTATGGCTTTAATGGTGTTATTCTGGTAAGTCGATTCAAAATCAGATGAGTTGAGTATTGAGATTTACCAGTAATTAGGGCTGTCAAACTTTTCTGTGGTTCCTGGGAAATACGTGCGAACTTCCTTGGTAGCTGGCTACGAGAACACATATCTTTCATATCCAAGATATTTGCAATCATCGTGCCCGGGGTTTTAGTGGGCGTAGGGCATGCTCCGGCTGTGCTAAGAAGCCTCGTGGCGGCTTTCATTCTAATGAACTCCACAAGTAAGTCATGCTTAGCCAAATCTTCTATTTCTAAAAGTGTACATTCAGAGCTTGGTCTGACTTGTGATAATAGTGCTCATAAGCTTGTCAACCGGCAGTATCCTCATGGTACTTATTCTTTATAAATATATCAAAACACGGCGACTTCTGTTTGCACACGAAAAGCGTAATGGGTGGTGGGCTTCAAGCGGTACAGCGACTGCGACTGACACAACGGGTACCGGCACTGGGACTGGGACTGGGACTGGGACTGGAACTGGAACCGGTCAATCTAATGCCAACAATCGCAAATTAGCTCGTCGCTCTGTATACGATCGTGCACTTATTACCCGGTTTACGATTGGATTTGTTATTATTCTGTGAGTCTCTTTGGTGTCCTAATAGCTAAACTGGTTGGTAGAAAGACCAGCTGACAATTTTTAAAAAGGGCTCTCGAAGTTGTATTAATCATTTTTTCTCTATTCTCCGAACAAAACTTTCAAAAACTTGCGAAATCGTCATCTCCCGACTTCTCGATATCTAGCTGTATTACAGATATTATTCTCTTCATCCCCGGAGTCACCGCGTCACTCTTAGTGTTTCTCGTTTTCGGAACCGCCAAATCTTTCACGCAATATAAAGATTTGATCCTTAGTTGCTGTGGCCAGCGTACGAAATTTCCTAAAAGCAAAAGAAGAGGTGTTATGAGATCTGGAGATGAGGAACAGGGTACCGAATTTCAAAGATTACCTAGTATGGGAACAAAGGTCGTCACGCCTGAAGAACGAGCTGTGCTGGAAGCGAAAATGCGAGGCATGTTACCTGACCAACGAACATCCGTCGGGACACAATATACAGAATACACGACACAAACAGGGAAAAAAGGACCAGAATCGTCAGTATACACTCATACACGAACTTTAAGTCCAATAACAGCCAACTTTAATTTCAGTCTTCCAGCTTCAGCCAGAAACGCATCTCGACCCGGGATACGCCAAGACGAACGTGATGCAGGGGAAGCGTGGGCTAGACAAAATGATTTGGAAGTTGGCCTGGCATTGGAACAAGAGTGGAGTGATAACAGCCTTGGAAGGGAAAGAGATTCGGCAGGAAATACAACTGTGGGAAATACGACAATTCTTGATGATATCGACCTATTGTCTCATCGGGATTTCATTCTGGATGATAGTGATGAGCATGAGGGATGGACGAGATGAATCGGTTCATGGGAGGAGTTCTAATGATTTTATGATTGATACCTTCAGTGCCGGATTGATTTTCTATCGGTAGTCTTTGTATAAAAAGGGGAAATATGTATATATATGGGGTATCTGGATATAGGAAGGATAGAAAGATTAATGGATGTAAAAAATGGTTGGGATTAGCGAGTTAAAATCTTTAAGGAAAAGCCGCTACTGTATGAATAGTTTTAAGAATTAGAAGAAGGAAAATACCCGTTCTTGATATCCATCACATGTTAGTCTACATGACGTGCGGATGTGCCGATGTGATAATAGTATACCGGTCTGTCACATGCAGGAGATCAATGTATCGTACCGAGCTGCATATCGAGAAAAAGAAATCTTTTACTAGGTAGTCGACGATCTACACGCTTCGGAGATATTTCATATCTCATAACGTGTGAAGATTACTGGCGTGGCACTGACATCTGTAACCAGCCAGCTGGATACCAGATACATAATCAGTACAGCCAAGACAGAAAAGACATGGCAAATCCCACCCTCAGATTCTCGGAACCCCCCTAAAATAAACCTCGGGGTCTTTGTACGATGAGATTTTTGAGATTTTTTGATTTTTTTTCATCATTTGAAATTCGTCGGCCATAGGTTCCTCCGTGCCTCGGTAGACCCATGTTTGTGTTGTGTTCAATGATTTATCAGTGTCCAAGTAGCATTATTAATTGAGATTATTTGAGATTGAACCTTTTTATTTATTCCTTACTGTTATTTTTTCCCTTCTTTGCTTGTTTCTCATTGATTGCTTATAAGTGTGCGGGTTCATTCTTTACCTGTATATACAATTCCTGCTCAGATTACTGGCTTTCAAAAGTCGGAAACCCACCTCCTTAAAATGGCATCCGCAACTCGTCTCCCGCTCAAATCGATTGCGTTTACGACGGCAGTGGTGGCCGCAGCAGGTATCTCTCATGTGAATATACAAAAATTACTCTCCGATGTCTTTACCGGACCGGGAAGCTATTCGCGGATTGCAGCTACCGTTGTCATTCTAGCGAATTTGAAAAGTTTGCCTGGAGTGTGGCATGTATGTTCTCCTTTTTTACACTGCATCTGATTCATTTTACGAGAAAAGAAGAAGAAAAAATAACATCAGCTAATATATCTGCAGTTCCGAGTCTGGAACGCAATCCTCAAACATCTCATCTTCACCATCCCAAATATCCCTTCGGATCTCGGTCCCGCATCGCTCTTCCTCCCCGTTATAACAACCTCCCATGCTCCCCTCTGGGAATGCGATTACAATCTGCATAAATCGAACAGTACCTATTTCTCTGATCTCGACGTCACGCGATCGCATATCATTTGCTGTCTTCTAGAACCGGGCATTCACGCTCTGCAAGCGAATCCGAAAAACAAACTCGTGCTGGATAAAGAAGGGAAAGCGGTACGCGGAAGATGGGGAATCATGCTCGGAGGCGTGATGTGTAATTTCAAGAGGGAAATAGGAATCTATGAGAAATACGAGATGTGGAGTCGCATACTGTGTTGGGATCGCAAGTGGATTTATGTGGTGACGCATTTTGTGAAGAAGGGGACGGTGAGACCGAGGGGGTTTGTGTTGGGGGATGGAAGTTGGTTTGGGGGTGGGAATGCGAGGTTTGAGGAGAGGGAGGGAGAGGGTGGAGATGCGGTCGAGGTGGATGAGAAAGCTATTTTTGCAAGTGCGGTTAGTAAGTATGTGATGAAATTGGGAAGGTTGACGGTTCATCCAGAGGTGGTGTTGAATGCTAGTGGGGTGTTGCCGGAGAGACCGGGCGGTTGGCATAGTATGGCTAATTCTGGGGTTTCGACGCCGGAAATGGATGAGTCGTTTGTGGAGGCGAAGGTTGAGGATGAGGAGGTTAAAGAGGGGGGAAGTGGAAATGGAATGGAATTGGGGAGAGAGTCGAGAGGGAAAATAAACGAGGATTGAAATTTGCGGAACATTTTGCTGCGATGGAGGGGTTGCATCAGGAGTTTACTGGAAGTCAGGGACCGGCGTTGGGTAAATATAGAGATTTGTTGTGAGAGTATAGAGACTTTTTGCGGAGTCGAGATGTTTGATGTGCATGTTCATATAGATTAGATTAGAATAGACTAGATCAGCTGAGATGGAGTATATAGATTGTAAAGGAGCATATAGACTAATAATATATAGAAATATCAAGAAGATTCTTGTAATCTCGATAAGTGCAAGGCATTTTTCCGAACCATTTCATTCCTCTCAAGCGAGTTAGATTATCATATCCGCAACTAGTAGACTCTTTCAATGTGAACATAGGAAGTGAAAACAGCACGTCATCGTATCAAAACCTCAACTTAGCGTCACAGTAACCTACTGAGATCTCGCGAATGTTAAAGGGGTACGGTGTGCATACTCAAGAAGAAACAAATGTATTCGAGTGGTACCTACCCAATAACAACAAGGTCGAGCATCAGACTCTTTGAAATTGAATTGTGGAAAGGCTGGATATGTATTGTTACACTGTTTTTTATGTGGGGATGGAGTTATCTTCGGGGGAGTTCTTTCGTCGCGGCTTGTTTTATCGGATCTTGGTTTCTTTTGCGGAGTTGGTGGTATTTTGATGGTGATAGTGATGGTGATAGTGATGGATCTGAAATTAGTGTTGGAATAGGGGGGGGGAAGATAACGAGATTTTTGCAGTATAGTCGACACAAGAAGTCTCATTTTCCTTGCGCTTTTGTCGCGCGTAAAGTGATGAGTGAAGGAGTTTATGTGTATATTTCGGGTTGGTGTTGGTGATGGGGAACTAGACATTCCATGGGGTGTGAGGGAGAGTTGATGCAGTTGGTAGCAGACTTGTTGAAGCTTCTCTCGTTTCTCTTGGTGTTTAATCTCTTAGTTGCACTGAGCCAGAGGTGTTATTTATGTGTTTGGAATAAAGAGAGGGGAGGGAATGATGGAACCAGGAGAAGAGGGGTTTTGTTGTGGGGTTGAAGTGAATGATATATATTGCATGCACAGATCATAGACCTCAGACCCTACAGTATATATATATATATATACATCTGATCTCCGGGATAACTCTAACAAGAAGTCCCCGACGAGTTCCGAAAGCTAACAGGAGTGATAGATATAAATATCACGAGACTAAAGTTTGGGAAAGACGGGCAATTTAAAGAAAATAATCCATAGAGCTATATTATGTTGCAGCTCGGAATGTGTGGGGTTTCCAATTGTATATTTGAGTTGTGGTTTGGGATTTTGTTTTTCATAGGGCTAGGAATTGGGAAAGTGAGGTTATGGCTGTTGTGTGTTGTCTTGGTTTGATGTTATGAGCGCGGTGCTTAGATGATGTTGAGTGATAATACTACACACTTATATCTTGATAGCGGGTGAAAAAATAGTATAAATGACAATAGAAGGAATTTTTTATTGCATAGGTATTGATAAGTTGGAAGTTCACAAACATCAACTCAATCCAATGCGTCAATGTACCTATGTTCTAACGTAATGGGAAAGTTGAGATTGACTCCAGCTGTTCGGACCTTGGGATATTTCATGAGCATGAACCAGGTAATTGTGAGGAAACTTTGGAGAGTGAGAGTGTTGTTTATATATCCACAACTTGAGAAATTTTTCACCCTGATGGAAAAAGATTGAGAGGGGCACATATACTGTAAATTGGGAGGAGTGAATGATGCATTTACATTTACATTTACAACTATTTGCTTAGAAAGTTCCAAGCGGATCCACAAAATGAGCGTCGAGCTAAAAAAGGGGAGTTATAAAAAGAACGGTATTATAAGAATATTCTTATATCTTTTCTGGAGACTTTCTTTAATTCATTGTGTTTTCTAGACCAGCTGACTTTAACAGTCTTTGGGAATAGCTAAACGGCATGTCTTTTTGTGCTGTCATTGTTTTATATCTATCTACCTCCCCCAGGAAGAGATCGTGGAAATTTGAGGGTTTTGTGGGCTTGAATGAGGGAAATAACCACAAAACAGATATTTGATATGGTAATAATATGAGTCACAACAAGAAATTTTTAACGGGACGAGAGTAAGGATTGTCTTGTTATTATGACGAGTTCTCCCTGTATGTCTAATTCAGTTATCTTTACGGGTTTGATGGGCAGAGATGGGTAAAATAAAGAGTGGTGTTGGCATCGCACCCATAGATTTGCAAGTCGGGTCATCTTGAATGGAATTTGTTGGAGAGCTCAGTCGGGGATAATGGGATTTTTATACTTGGGGATTTTGAGGGGAGGGAATGCGTGGGGAGTAAGAGGACGGGGAAAAGAAGAGGTGAATTGTGATGCGCTTATAATCAACTTTTTGATGATTCATATGTTCCAAGGTTGTACTCAGCGGGAATCATAATCCGAGTTCGAATTTAGAGGAATCGAGAGTTATAAAAGAGATCAGGTGTTGGGAATGGGCGGATTAAGATACTTGAGGTGACACAGTCGAAGAGGTTCAAAGTTGTGTGTGTGTGTGTGTGGGTATCGTGCCTTAATGTGCAATATGTTGTATCTCTTTCGAAGAAATCGCGAGTAAAGGAAAATCATATTTTCGATAGTGCCCATCCACTGCCGTTACATTGGACATTGATCATGAAGAATAGCAAAAGTCGCAAGTCGAATGACAACAAGAACAGTCCAATAGGATGAGAGTATGGAATCTACATCATTATTGTCATTGTCATGGTCATTTTCATTGTTTATGGACCATAAATTCTTGCGAATTCCTACTGAAAGATATTCCTCGAACCCAGCAGGGAAGAAATATCGAAATACTTCCAAACATGGTAGTTAGTTAGTTACATTGAATACCCATCAGAAAATTGACTGTCAGTTTAATGCTTGCTTGGAAAAACCCAATCAAGAGGTACTTTCCCCTTTTAAGAAGACCTCGGAAGAAAAGCATACCCAATCCATTTCCAGCAATTTAGCGAGATATCAAGCGCCCCCCCCCTCTACATTAGCGAAATAATAGGCGGGAATTAATTAACATTCGAAAGCACTTCAACAATTCGAATGTCTTCTTGATATAATAGTGAATATAAAAAATTCTAACTATCTATTCATAATATAAAAAGGACTTAAATTTTTATTAATCTTTTCAGATTTTAATATTTATTTTGAACTGAATTGATAATTCAATAAATAAATGATATTGAGATGGATTCAAAAATAAGAGGGGATTAAATGAGTATAAATATGAATGAGTGAGTAAGTGAGGTATTATATTCTAATTAGTTATTTATATTCTTTATATTATATAAGATTTAAGATTTAAGATTTAAAGATTTAAGATTTAAGATTTAAGATTTAAGATTTAAGATTTAAGATTTAAGATTTAAGATTTAAGATTTAAGATTTAAGATTCAAGATTCAAGATTCAAGATTTAAAAGAAAGAAAAGAAAAGAAATCCTGTATATATTATATATCTCATCAACCCCCCCCCTATTTCTCCCTCTTCGTCTTCCTCTTCATCTCCCTCTCCGCCTCTTCCCCTCTCCGCCTCTTCCCCTCTCCGATCCCATACACTCTCTCATCCCATGCACTCTCTCATCAACCCATCATTCCCCATCATTTCTTCTTATTCCTCTCTCCCTCTTCATCTCTCCCTCTTCCTCTCCATCTCTCGCCCGTCCTCTTCCTCTACTCCTCCACCCCTCTCCCATCCCATGCACCTCTCATCAACCCATCCCCATCATTCCTGATTATTCCTCCTTAGTTTCACCCTTATTCCCTCCTTATTCATTCCTCTCCACCTCTCGCTTCCTCGCCTCTTCCTCTCTCTCCCTCTTCGTCTCTCCTATCCCATCCACTCATCTCCCTCTTCCTCTTCTTCTTCCTCTTGCCCTCCCTCACCACCACCTCTTACCAACTCTCCACTCCCCATCTTCATCGCCTCCTTTCATATTTCTCCTTTCCAACTCTTCAAAATACTATTCACATCACCCCTATCAATCAATCAATCAATCAATCAATCAATCAATCAATCAATCAATCACTAACTACTTATACTACACACAATACATCTTCCATGCATCACAACTTTGTATCAACCCATTCTATCATCACTAGTAATTTCTACCTTTAATGTCTTCCACTTTCTCACCAGATCGCACGTCATTTCAAAATCACATCACAAAAATCAAGCAAAAATAAATATTTTAAAAATCATCATTTTTCTTTCCTAACAGATTATTCCTGCCCAATAACAAAAGCACCACCGAACCATAACCGCAAGTACCATATCAATCTTGTGTGAAATCTCCCTTGCGAAAAATATCATCACATATGATCAAAAGTGGGAAAAGAAAATTAAAGAAAGGCCTCAGAGGAAAAGACGTAATAGAAAAGAAAGCAACGAGTGAGATAGATTCCATTTCCCCCCTCCCCAAAAATACGTTCAGTAAAAAATCCCAAAAGCTCCATCCATTTCCCTTGATCCATCCGCTATCCAGAGCTTGTTTGTGTGTCAATCTTACGCCTGCCTTATTCGTGATAATTCATCCCCATTCCCTTCGCCATATTCATCCACGTCCTTTCCATTTATTTATGTAGTCATCTTTACCCTAATACAACTTGCTGGGTGATGCATTTACTTCTTAGATTCTGATTCTTGCTCGGCAAGGTATTCCTCATCACTGGCATCGAGAATATCATACTCCTCATCAGTCATGAATCCATCCTCAGCCTCATCATCTTCGAAGTTTTGATTGAATTCCTCAAAGTCATCGTTGAAAATTTCTTCGGAAGTTGGAACAACCTTTGGTGATGGTTGAGCTTCATGAATGCTTGAGATTGGAGATTCCTTTTCAAGCTTTGGGAAAATCATTTGACTAGTCTCGGCTTCAGGTAAGTCTTGAACCTCGGATGAGACTTCAGAGGCAAGCTCTTGCTCATCAGCTACAACCTTAGGAGCTTCAACCTTGGTAGCTTCAACCTTAGGAGTTTCAACCTTAGGAGCTTCAACCTTGGTAGCTTCAACCTTAGGAGTTTCAACCTTAGGAGCTTCAGTCTCAGCAACTTCAGTCTTGATGACTGGAGTTGGCTCATTGACAGTAATATCACACCAAAGTCTGTGACCAAATTTATCACCAGTAGGAGTGGTAAGACGCCAGTATGAAATGAAGCTACCAGCACGGTTTGGAGTTCTCATCAAGACGGTGAAACCGTATTCTTGACCAGGAGCGACTTCAGTATAACAAGTTGTGCTCTCAGCAGCACTGACAAGTTCATGTACACTGGCTGGGTGTTCAGGGTCAACAGCACACATGTTATCGCCACCAACAAATCTAACACTGCAACCTGCAGGCCAAGATGTCTTACCACCATTGCGGAGATACCAGGTTTGTTCGAAAACTGAGTTTGGTGTCATGATGGTACCATCAGCGACTGCATCACGAACAAAGTGTGCAACCAATTCCTCTTCAACGGGAGCTGGAGCTTCTTCAGTGACCTCCTCGATAACTTCCTCCTTGACCTCAACCGGTTCAACCTCAGCAACAGCCTTAATCTCAGAGACAGGCTCAACCTCAACAGGTTTAGCCTCAACAACAGGCTTAACTTCAGCAACGGTTTGAACTTGTGTTGCAGCATTGGTGGACTGAGTTGGAGTGGTCTCAGTTGCCTTTGAAATTGTTGGAGCAAAACGATCACCCATTGGTGCCATGGGTTTACCATTTGGATGATCACCAAGAGTGGTAACGCTAACATTGCGAACAGGTGTCTTGAACTTAATCAAAGGATGGGTCTTGTTGTGAGTGTTGGATGGACTGGCCTCACAAACAGAACAGAAATCGGTGTCATGGCAGACAGCACATTTGTAACGATCTCCAGTGATATAAGCGGGAGACACGTTACCATTGTTGTCTTCGGTGTGGTGCTTGTTTTTGCAAAGAGGTCCATCACAGAAAATACCATGGTGACGAACTCTGCTAGCTTGTTGTTGGGCACACGAGCGACTGACAGGTTCATAGAGAGGTACAAATCTGTGACCTTGGTGGATGAAGGTAGCATTCGCAATGCATGCATCGCAGTAATCCCAATCTGGACAATCAAGGCACTTGTGACGAACACCAAAGATGTTTCTATCACATCCATCACAAATAGCAGAGTGAGAGGCGTTACGACCTGCGGCGAGAAGAGCGGAGGCCATTGGACCAAAGTTAGCATCCTCATCCACGAAAGCGAAAGCATGCTTAGGGTTGTGGCCATGTTTCAATGATACGTGGCATTGAATACACAAATCGAAATCTGCACAATCGATGCAAGTGACAAAGTTCTCTTCGGACATTTCGGAGATGCAGCTGTTGCAAGTGCGGGTGGGAACCGGTTCCTTCTCTTCGACTGCGGGAGCGACGAGGGTAGTCTTAGAGTCGGAGAATTGAAGCTTGTTATCTCTGTAGCCAGAAAGTTGTTTAGGGGCGAGCTTTTCGGTTGTGCTGTGAATGTATTGACCCTTATCCACGATGCGTTTAATCAACCAGTGATCACCATTGCAGGTGACTCCAGCATCGTTACACTCTGGGCACAAGTCGAAATCACCATTATCACAGGTGCTGCAATGATAGTGGATATCTGGAATAGAGACACTGCAACTGTTACAGTAAAACGAGAACGAGCTTGACAAACAGGTTCTGGTGACTTTGAGCTTCCTGAAGCCACGTCATATCGGTCCAGCAAGTAGGCAGGAAGTGGCTTTGCGTGTTCGATTGCTGTTTGGTAAGCGGCGTGATTATTAGAGACAGCCATCTCATCAAAGGATTTTTGTAGGGAGATAATTGCTTCAATCTGCTCTTGTACTTTGGATTGCACTTGCACAGCGGCACTCGACTCCTTGTATTGTGCTTCCGTTCTCGCCTCCGAGTCGAAAGCGACGCTACGTCTGGCGTTAGGGATCTCAGTGGTTGATGGGTGTGATACGGGAATGGTGAATGAGGGGTATTCAGGTTGTGCTACAAGAGGCTTGGCTGAAGTTGATTCTTCATCCTCGACGGAAGCTGGCTTTGGCACGACTGGTTCTTTGTCCTTGATGGTGACCTTGAGTCTAAGCTTAAGCTTAGCCTTGGCAGCACGATACAATTGTTTGTAAACTGAAGGATTGGTTGCATCGAGTACGATGAAGGCAGCAGCACTATCGGAGTATCTCTCAAAGATAGCCTCGGAAGTTGTAGGGATGGCGAGAAAGGAATCGAAGCTATGTAGATGGGAATGATTAGCTGTATTCAAATGATTTCATCAAGCTCCATCGTGATTAAACAATATATTATGTTTTGCATAATCATGGAGCTGTGTTTGGAGATAGATTGATGTTATCACATACCTTATCGGGAAGAGTGCTAGCACCGAGATCACGAAGAGGAAGCTTGAATCTTCGATTGCTACCCTCAATATTCACCTTGAGGGTAACCAGCGTATCTGGAGTTGGGGCTGTCATGGACGCCATGGTTGAAAATAACAAATCTATTGAAGAGTATCGTTGTCAGTAAGTGTGCCAGAGTGAAGAAGTGATGAAGTGATAAGTGATGTCGAGAGAGAGCGGTGACCTTGCAGGGAATGATGCCGGCCAGGAATCGATCGGACTTACTTATCTATCTTATTATGAATAATCGATTCTTTGAATAGGGTATCTTGGAAGAATCGAAGGATTCGATAATTGTATCGAGCGATCAAAAGAATCAAAGGATATTCCTTTGATCTATTATGCAAAGGGAATTGTTGTAGGGAAAGTGGATTGATGTGTTTTTGATTGATGTTGTAAGTTGTAAGTTGTATGTTGTATGTTGTAGGAATAGAGGATGGAGAAGATGTGGAGAGGAAGATGTAGGTAAGTGGTAGGTGGTAGGTGGTAGGTAATATGTAAGATGGAGTGTAGCTGCGGACTAGGTAGGGAGGGAGGGAATAACTTACAAGTGTTGGGTTTAGCTTACGAAAACCAGTTTACGGCATGGGCAAAGAAAACCAATCGCTAAAATCAATAAGCAAGGCTGCCGTAGAAGGGTACGTGGAGAGAAAGGCCTGTAGGTAATTGTTAATAATACCGATTGAGGGAAGAAGAGATCGACTTGTGAAGGGTGAATGCGAGAATGATACGGTCATTGTTGAATATCTCGGTAGTAGGTAGGTAAGTACCTAGTAGGTAATCAATGAATGAATATGATCAAGATTGATAATGAATGTTTGTATGAGTTTTGCCTCTTTCGATTTGATTCTATGGTATCAGTATGGTAGATGATGTTTATGTATTACTCCGTAGAGATACTACCTAGGTAATTGAATCTTACCTGGTAGTATTGTAACATCTTGCCATCTAAGATCCATCCTCTTCAGCATACCTAGTAAGCTCTAGATAATCATCTGGAATCATCTCCATCTTCTCGTTGGCGAATGAATGGCGAATGAATATCTATTATACGTATCTAGATGCTCTCTACAATCAAAACAGCTTCATTATGATACTACATCACACTACATCTTACATCCATCTCACATCTTCAATCCCACTCAAATCTCCATCCCATCCCATCCATCCCCTCATTATCCATACTCCACTGGAGCATTCTCACTGCCGCTTTCTCACTACTCGCTCCCTACGTTATCTCTAGCATCCACGCATCCACATATCCACGCCTCCCTACCAAAAAGTCCCTCTCAAGTTCCATCTCCTCTCCTCCTAGCTAGATTCTTAAACTAAACTCCAACTAAGCTCCCAGCTTAAAACCCCCAACTACCCCCCAAACTAACCCCCTCCAGTAAACCCCCTCCCAACCCAATCGATATCCCGCATCGATGATACAATCCCTCGAGAATCCCCGAGAATCCCTACCCAGTAGTCCCTCTCCAAATAACCAAGACCAAGCATTCGAACTCATATAATAGTATAGTTCCCTACCTCCATATCTACATACCTACCTACCACTAATTCTCACATCACGAGGGCATTCAGTTCTTCAATAACAAGCTCGCACGGCAAGCAAGCCTCAATCGGTGAGTATTGGAGCACGAGGATATTATCTATATTATATATTCTACTCGGTCACATACCTATTACATACCGAGTACGTATATCTAGAGTGATAAAATACTAACTATCTAGTCTCTCTCTCTCTCTCTAAAATTCCTCTACACTCTACCCATCCATCCATCCATCCATCCATCCATCTTCCTCCTACCCAATATCAATATCAAGAACAAAAATAAACAATTCACAATACATCATAAGATATCTCCACCCCTAACATGCCACCCCCCCTATCCTTCTCCAATTCTCATCCATTCTCATTCATTCCCATCCATTCCCATCCTTACCTATTAAATATACATACATAATACATACTCTACATAGGAGGAAAAAGAGGCCGATTTTGATCATACAAATCTTTAATGAAATCTCTAAATTAATTGAATTATAAATCAACTACAAATAAAATAAATAAATCTGACAATATCAAATTACTTTTCATCTTTTATTTATATCGATCTTATCAAATTTTATATTTAATTTCAGATTTGAAAAGAAGAAGTTGGTTTGTTAAAAGTATTAAAAGTGATTAAACCCGATCTCTTTTTTCTTCTATATAGAGATATGTACATCAGAATTACATCTTTTCAAAAACTTTTCATAATGAATTATTATAAAAATATATTTCAAAATCGATTAGGAATTGTAATATTATATTATACTGTTTATTATAATATTATAGAAATCTACTCGTAGTTGAATCAAATCAAATTATCTTATAAAAAATCATCTCATATAAAACCAAGTCATATAAAATCATCTCCAAATCAAATGTTTTATAAAAAATCTATATGTTATATATCTACCTATTTACCATCTACTCATCTAATCAACTAACTATTACTACCACTATCACTCACTCCAAAATCCACTCATATCAACCCCTCCCCTCCCCTCTCTTCTCCCCTCCCCCCTAAAAAACCCCTTCGCCTCTCCTTTCGCCCCTCCCCCCACTAAACACCCCCTTCGCCTCCCCCCTCCCCTCCCCTCCAAAACCCACCTCCAGACTACCTAGTACTCAATACTCAATACTCAATATCCACAATTCAAATACACATCTACCCCATCTACCAACCTACCAACCTACCAACCTACCAAAACCACACACAACACACACACCCACACCTAACCTACCTACCAACCTAACCAAATCCAAAACAAATCCTCACCTAACCTACCAAACCAAAACTATCTACCCTACTTCCAACCAACCAACCATTTGCCTCATCTCATCTCGCCACATACTACACGCCACACACCACACCACACACCACCTGCACGCCACGCCACGCAATCCTTCTCTCCCTCCTCCTCCCTTCCCCGATTTCCAATCAAATCAAATTGAAGTCTCAATCCAAACCGCCCGCCTCAACGAGGCTCATCATTATACGTACTTATATCCATAGAGTATACTCCGAAAACAATACGGATTAGGTTTCCAAGTATGAATTAGTTATCAAGTCACCAAGAAAATCACACATGCCTAACAAACAACAAGAAGAATAAGAAGAATAATTCATATGTAACAACCTATGTAGAATCGAAAGGAAGAGAGGGTAAATCTTATTAAAAAAAAAGTATTTACCCTATCCATATTCATATGAAGATGAAAACCCCAGAACGAGAATTACTACTTATGAAAGTGTTTATTTCCTCCCTTCCTTTTCCTTCCTTTGCTTTACCTTCCTTCCCTCCGTCCACTGAATCAAACGTCCCATGAAAACATAGACTCAAGAAAAAAAAAAATCAACGACCACGCCACGAACCCCGGCAATGAACAACTTGTGTTTGCAGAAAATTGCTCGTATAACCGTACGCCTATAGAAGAAGATTCCTTCCTATCCACCTAGCACCTTGCTTATCTATTTCCCCTCATCCATCAAATCCATCTTAAACTTCCAATCCCATCAATAACCATCTTTCACTCGTGGTATCCAGTTGATGCGACCACATGTCAAGGGTTGTCAATTCGAATCCAACCCAACGAAGACTTTTCAGGAAAGTTGATCTATCTCCTTCCGGAATTGATCGATCAACATTAATAACGACTTTGGAGACTGCGAATACTTCATCCGCGAGTTCAATGAGTGCCATCAGTCTATTGCTCATTAGTAACTTAAATTGTGGTGACGACAACAAAGTAATCCTTACCCCTGTTTTAAATCCCTTCCAATGACTGAATTGTCAAAGAATGCAAAGAGTGTTTTCTCATCACCATTTCCGCCAACAAATCCACGAAAACTGCACCCTCCCGTGTAATCCCAAATCTCGACCCAAGCATCGATTGCATGGCCTGATTTGACGACACCAAAGTAATTATCATGCGTATCCACATCATCGTCAAGACTTGAATACGTGTCCGCACCCATCACGTTTGAGTCACTACTCGCACTTTCTTCTTCACCAAGAAAAATGGTTTTCATGTTCTCGCAAAAGAGTCTCTCACACTCTTCCCGGATGGCGTACGCTGCCCCCTCTTTGCGGCTTGTAGTTCTACCTCGATTCTTCATTGAATGATTGATTAATGCGAATTCGTTGGCAGATGTCAAGGCCGCAAGAGGGGGACTTGACGGAGGGGATATTGACCCTGAGCGGACCTCAGGGATACCACTTTGCCCTGTTGAAAGAAGATTAGTATTTGATGTTTGGTTTGCGAACGTTGGGTGGATGGAAATGAAAAGGGGGAAACTAACCCGCCAGCGCCGGTAGTGGAGTAATGGAATCCAGAAAGACGAGCGGAAGAATCGACAATGTAGCAGCTGGCGAGGACGTTGGCTTGAGAGCCGACTACCTCGCCGCCACAATTACTACTACTATGACTGTTTTTCATACTTGGAGCCATTGTTCTCGAAAATTGCCAGGTTTGCGGTGTGAACGGTTTGGGAATAGAATTTGACCAGTTAGTCGGGATTTTGATTTTGATTTAATTGCGATTTGATTTATTGATTTATTGCGACGATGGATTGAAGTGAGATTTGCAGGGAGGATTTGTAAGATGGAATTCCTGGATGGGAGATTTGATTTCTTTCTTGTGAATTTTGAAATTCGGAGTTTGCACTATTTGATAAATCGGTGACTGGAAGGAGAAAAGAGGCGGCTCTGGCTCAGATTTCTTTCTTTCTCTCTCCCAGATTTAAACAAAGGTAGAAAAGTTTAGTTTGTAATTTCCCCGCTTTCAATGAACCAATCATGATGAATTCTCATGCACATTGGTATACAACACAACACAACCAACCGCCATGACTCCAAAGCACTAGAAATTTCTAGGAGGATTCAATTACCTGTTTTCAGTGAAGTTTGAATGTTATTATTAATCAATGTGATACAATCATGAATTATGACAATTGGTAGGTAGGGTCATTCATTCATTCATCAGAAAAGAATTACCACAGAGTACAGAGTACAGAGTGTAGTCAGCAGGAAATTGCCTTTTCTCATTCCATTCCTTCAACTTCCCGGGCCTCCCTCGAAACAGAAACTGCCAAGGAAATACGAGTTTGTAAGTCACGACTCACACAACACCATGCATGCATTTCACCATATGTTCATTTCATCTGAGTTGCATATTGAATGAGTGTATATTGAATGCACATTGAATGCAATCTGATTTGTTCTTTTTTGGTACCTCTATTCGATCACTCCACTTCTTGAATCGTAGGTACGGAGTACTGACAGTTTGTTGGATCCGTTCTTCATTGTTATATGTACCTGATTATATCTAGGGATCCCTTCACTTGTTTGTACTGCGTATGGAAGTACCAGACCAAGGATGAAGCGTTCAAAGCTAAAGGTCCAGAGTCAAACGTTAAGAATAAAGTCAAAGTCAAGGTCAAGGTCAAGGTCAAGGTCAAGGTCAAGGTCAAGGTCAAGGTCAAAGTCAAAGTCAAATGTCAAGATGCTCCCATAATTCACAGAGTACTACGAGTACTACAAGTATTACGAGTATTACGAGTACATTGATCCGAAAATGGAGCCAGCTTATTCTCCCCATTCCCATTAACCGCGGTACATACGAGTACATAGTACATAGGTACATACATAATATTCACATCGCATTAGTACAAAAGTATACCTGAATCACCGAGTTGAGATGAACAACAAGCATTTCCTGCCCTGCCTGCTTCCTCCTTCCTGCGTGTCTATATGTATTCTAGTAGATTATGCAAAACATTGTGAGAAGGCTCGAAGGATAGAACGAATATGCAGGTAGTCATTCAATCCTTGTCTGTATACGAAATGGTCCCTTTCTTTTTTTGAAAGAATAAATGGAGTTGTGATAAGAAGGAAAAAGATCTTCCATCTTTTATCTTTTCTCCCATCTCGTAAATATCAAGCATCATTTACCAGAAATCATCTGACTACCGGTACTGGCAGTCTGATATAAATCATCCTTACATCCATCCGTACATCCTTACAATCATTCTCACAATTATCTTATCGATAAGCCAACCTAGGTAAGTGATAGTAAATTATCGATTATCTATAATCACCTACGACTACCTCTTACTACCTCCGACTACCTCCTCCTCCCTCCCTTGGCTCCGAGATACCCAGCTCCCTTGTCACCTAGTCCTCTCACCAGCTCCATCTATCTTCTGCAAAGCGGAGGCACAATCACACAACCCACGATAATACTCTGTCTGGACTCACTCTGTACAAATGAATGCGACAACACATCTCTGCACAACTTGAATACTAAAGTGGGAAGTGGTAAGTGGTGAGTGAAAAGTGAAAAGTGGGAAAAAACACATGATTTATGTAAGTCGTCTCGTCTCGTCTCGGTCATACATATCTACAAATGTATCCTCAATTCTCAAATCCAAGATTAAGTAAGTCTGCTTGTCTATATAAATCGCTATTCAAATCGCTTTCTTATTTCACACGCACATGTCACTTACCACACTATCCTATTATCGCTTCTTGTCCTACGACATCAGATTGATCTCGGTACTTTTGCTTAGAATATCTCTCATCAATCATTTGAATGGTGAGAAGAAGAAGCTGCGCGGTATGACATTATATACATGTAAATACCTCATTTTTATCCCTCAATTCTTTGGTCTCTCGACCTAGATATCTCTATATCTATGCTATCCATCTCATACCCTCCGATATCTTCAAATAAAGCTCACAAGATTCCCCAATTTCACATGCGAAACTCATCGACACACACACATACAAATGCCAATAATAGCATTGTCTCATCTATAAAAGTGAGTGATCATGCCATCCCTTTCCGTCGCGCAAACAGTCTTATCTTTTAGGACCTTTGAGACTTTCCCACGCGACTCTTTGTGTGTGTGATGTTTTAGCTTTACTTACTTATTTCTTACTTGAATCCCAATTTTTCCCCTATTCACCATCATGTCATTTCATCGCAGCTTTCTAATCTTGACATTCAGACAATATCCAATAATCCTTCTAACCACGATACACCTTTTATGACAACGCAAATCTTCCATACTATTAGCTAGCTAGCAAGCACGAGAAGTAGCTATCTGCGAGTAGAACAAAAGAAACCGTCCCAAAAATGTCCAACGAACGCCTCACGTTCCCAACCTATCTTCTCCCTTCCTTCTCCTTCCCCTTTCGTCGTCGCACATCCTCTCCTAGCACAAAAACCGCATCGCTCAACACAAGTACAAGCGCAAATCCTTTGGTTCCAGGATTAAGCTATTCGCCTACCAGTAGCTGTAATGAAACTCCACTCGCATCACCTACATCTGGGAGTTTTCTCTCGCGCATTCCAACTACTTCCACCCACAAGAGTGGGAGTTGGAGCGAGAATGAGAATGAAAACGAGAGTCATGATTTAACTTCCACTCCCACCTCTCCTCCTCGCACCAAACCTCTCCCTCAACCTCATCTCTCCCGTCCCTTTCCCTCTACAATCCGCTGTCTCACCTGCTCCACCCACATCTCGTACTCCTCGCAAATAATCTCCAAAGGCTTTACCGGTCGCCACGGCCGTGCCTATCTCGTCGCTCCGCCTCCTTCTTCCCCCGTTCCTCAAATCCCTCCCTTTCCACCCACCGCTCACGATCGCTCTAAAAATATCTCCAACGTCCGCATCGGGCGTCCTGCGAATCGAGAATTGTTAACAGGTCATCATGTCGTCGCAGATGTAAACTGCGCGGTTTGTAATACGTTGTTAGGGTGGAAATATGTGGATGCGCGGGAGGCGGGCCAGAGATACAAAATTGGAAAATTTATTTTGGAAACGAAGAGGGTGGGGGTTGTAGAGACGTTTGAGGATGAGGATGTGCGGACGCATTCGCTTGATTTTCGCGGCGAGGAGGATGATAATTTGGGATTTGGGGGGGTGGGAATGGGGAATTTTGGAGGTGCGAGGAGAGATGGAGAATTACATATTTTGAATGTGGAAACGAAAGAAGAGGAAGAAGCGAAGGGGTGGGTGAATTTTGATTCGGAAGATGAAGATGAGTGTGAGGAACTTTTTGCGGGGATTTGGGATGCTGAGGTGGCGCAGAAAAGAAGGATTAGGAGGATTGATCGGAGGAGGAAGGAGGTGGAGAGGGAGAGGTTGGCGAGTAAGGATAGTGGAGTCGGGGGGTTGTAGGAGAGGGGGATTAGGGAAAGAGGGGGATAGGAAGGGTGGTGGGGGTGGTGGTGATGGTGGTAGTAATATATAATTGGAAGGATTATGGAAATAGGAGGAGCTGATATGAGATGCGATGGGATGCGATGGGATGTGATGTAAAGGGGTTTATGACTACTCTATGATTTATGACGGAAAGAAAGACGGATGGATGGATAGATATACATTTACAAGGATGGATGGAGGAAAGGCATTCTGAAGGAAAATTTCTGGGTGTTTTTGCTTTGTCTCATTTGGGTGGTCTAATTTGTGTTGATGAGAATCTTGAGGGTTCCTCTCTTTTCTCTTCTTTGGGTTGGGGATTCGTGCTTCGTTAATCTATCTGTGATTTGAGGACTGATGGGATGGGATGGGATGGATTGGATTGGATTGGATGGGATGGGATTTGTTGGGAATTTTGTATCGTGATGGGGATATAGTATAGTATAGCATGGTATGATATGATATGGTACAGTAGGGTATAATATTGTATAGTATATTATTGTATTAAGTAGTATACATAGCTTTTTTTATAAAGAGAGATGTTTACTTGCTTGCTTGCTTGCTTGTTTAGGGTGCGTTCGGATCGATTTATTTCGACTTATTTGAGATTATTTACTAAATAATTTAGATTTAATAATTGAAGTAATAGGTTTACCGAACGAACACTTAAGGTTATGAAATAAATTATTAGGGAATTATTTGACAAATAAATGCGTTTATCGAATGTTTAGAGTTATCAAATAATTCCTAATAATTTATTTATTTGATAAATAATTTTTAAAATAACACATGCTTTTCAGATTCTTATACATTAATTATAACATAGTTTTTTGAAGTTTATAAGTAAATTTTTAATAAATCTTTATTATTATCTATTCCTATCATTTTTCAATATCATTTCAATATCATTCAGATATATTCAATATCACTCAAATATATTAACCTTGATACTTTTATCATTTTAATATTATTAGAGATTTCATAAAATGAATTGGAAATCGATCCGAACGTATCCTTATTATATGTGTATGTATATATATATGTATATAAATATGTATATATCTAAATATATTAATCATTCTCTTTCTATTCACTTGATATCTCTATTTGATATCTCTGTTTGTTTGATTGGTGATTGATAGTTGATAATTGATAATTGAGATTTGAGATTTAGGGTTTGGGTTTGGGGTTTGGGGTTTGGGGTTTTAGGATTTGAGATTTGAGGGTTTGAGATTTGAGATTGAGGAAGGGGGAGGCAATGGAAATGGAAATGGAAATGGAAATGGAAATGGAAGAGAGGAGAGGAGAGCAGAGGGAAGAAGACGGGAGGAGGAAGAGTATTATAGAGAAGAAAGAGGGTGAGAGAGATGAACGAAGGGGAGAAGGGAAGAAGGGGAAGAAGGGGGAAGGAAGGGGAAGAAGGGGAGGGAAGAAGGGGAAGAAGGGGAAGAAGGGGAAGAAGGGGAAGTTTCTAGGGGTCTGGTTGTGTTATTGTGTTATTGCATTGTGGGAGATTCTGGGAGATTCTGGGTTTGGGTTTGGGTCTGGGTGTAGGTGTAGATTTTGTGAATTGTGGATTGTGAGGGATGTGAGGGGTAGAAGAAATGGAGGAGATGGAGGAGATGGAGGAGATGGAGAGGAAATTTGGGATAGGATTCTATTTCTGAAAGTTATATTCATTTGATTTAATTTGATTATAGATATTTAGGTAGATAGGTCTTGATAGGTTTTGATATCTATCTATAGTTGGACGGATGGATGGGTGGTTGTGAAATTTTGGGATTGTGAAATTATGAAATTAAATAAAAGGGTTAGCGATGTAAGTCTTACTTTAGGGGGAGAAGGAGAGGAAGAAGGAGGGGGATAGATGAGTTCTAGCGGGAATCTAGGAATCTTGGAATCTGGGAATATTTCTTACTGCGCTGGAAGTTGGGGGATGATAGGTAGTTAGGTAGATGTTTGGGACTGGCATTTATAAGAGGCGTGGCACTGATGGGATGGGTTGGGTTGATATGGTTGTGGGGAGGGAGTGTGGAGGTAGGGAGGTAGTTGGATGGAGGGGATCATACTAGGTAGGTAAGAGTATATTTTGTTCGGTGTGCCCACCTAGTAGGTGTTGAGTATTGAGTTGAATAGTAGGTAGTAGGTACTATCTAGTGAGAGTTGGATGATATATATATAAAATGATTTGCGCTGGATGTATATACATTTTTTTTTTTTTTTTTTTTTTTGGAAAATCGAGGTTCGATTTCTATATGTGTGATGAAGGTTTTGAAGGTTCTTTGTGGTTTTGTGATGGTGATTAGATGGGTAGATGGTAGATACTAGGTAGGTATTTATGTTGATTTCTTGAGTAGGTGTTATGATACTTTTGAGTGTGCTTGGGATTGGGATTGGGATTGGAGGTTGTGAAGATGAGGCTGGAGTATTTGAGGGTATGAGGATATGAGGGGTTAAGGTAGATACATAGGTAGTTGATTTGTTGGCGAGTAAGAGTATGGTTGACTAAGGTTTTATGGGATATATACCTAGTATTGCTTTGAGAGATTTGACTGATAATGTCACGTACATACCTGGTATTTATATCTTACCATTAGAATTACTAGATAGTTCATAGAATTATATAGAGAAAGAATATTAATTGAAAGAATATTTAGCAAGCAAGTATTCATCTCATTGTTCAATCTCTTACATAGGTAGGTATCCAGATATCCTGCTTCTCCCTATGAAAAACGCTCTTCAACTCAAAATATCAAAAGGACTTCCCCCTCAAGTTCTAACAAACGAATATATCTATACTGCAAAGTTCCATAAGTTCAATAAAAGTCCTAGAGAACCCTCTCACAAGCTACTTAGTGAAACACTTTCATTCAAAACCCCATCAACTATTCAAGTCAAGCACTCTCACCACACCACTCGAACGACTAAGCAAACCAAAACCCAAACCCAAACCCAGAATCTACAAACCATACCCTCGAGCATCTTAGTGTCTCGGCGTCCTAAGTGGGATTAGCTCCCACAAATTCAATTTTGGGAAATGGGGTAGTGCTTCTTGTTTTGTTTTGTTTTGTTATTCTTTCCTTGAGTTTGTTTCCACAACTTCAGCTTCTTGGACTTTAACACAACGATCTCACAACGAATTACCATAGTTTTTGGTTGCCAACAACACAATGATATAGTTTTTTTTATTTGTGGATAGCACCAATGGATTCTTCTTCTTGGGGGATTGTAAGTTTTCTTTCTCCTTTTCTACGTCTTTTTCAACTATCTTTTGGACCTTGAGTCGCCGTCAACTTCAACTCTAACTCTTGAGTTTGAAACTTGAGGCTGCGCTACAGGCAGGTAAAATCATATGTGCCACTACTTCAAGAGGTTGCACTTGTACTTCGCAGTATTTGTCAATTGATCTTGATGGTTAAAAACTGACGATGAATAAATAGGAACGAACTTCTTGTCCAGTTACTTCCTGGTAAAGTGACGATGAGCTGATCACTTGATCTGCAAGATCGGAGGAATACTGTTAGAGTCTTGATGCAGGTGAGATATTAATCAAGTATCTACGGGTTTGCTTGGCTAACTTTGAAGTTGCTGCTAGATCAAATTCTCAATGCCTGACCTTCTGAGCACCAAACCTGCAAAGATCGAGGACGCAGAATTACTCTGGCTTTCGCTCTTTCTTCATGATTCCTGTGGTCTCTGATCTACGTCGCTTGGCGACAAGCTCGTCGCGGTCGTTGCCGATGATAGCATAGCGTCAAGAAAAGAAGTAAGTAACAACTACCTCTTTCTGTCTTTGGGCTCTGCCAACTCAAACAATAGACGCCATCATGATGTGGCCTATACACAACTAGAGCTGTAAGTTAGAGACAAGCTTGTGCCTACAGTTTTCCAACTTTTGCAAGCTTTCTCTAACACCATCACCACCATAGAAATTTGAGGTTTGGCACAAGCACACCGAGAACCTATAACGAGAGATATTACTACGTTCAGGATTCAACGGTACGTAACTGATTCCAAAAATTACCTCTTATTACTAACGTAGAATCAGTACTACGAACGGAATTCAGCCAACGCAGCATGCATCACCGTGAATCTCCTCCGGCTTTCTCGGTCGGTAAAGAAATTGGTGGCTTGGCTGGCACGATCGATGAGAAGAGCCGACATGGACTCGGCACTCAATACTCTCGCTAGAATAAGCGTTGGTGTTCCTCATGCTGATGAAACTTTCTCGTTGACGCACGCTGATTCTTACTTGTGTCGTTAGAAACAAAACAATATTGATCGACGGCTTCAATCGCCTCCGATCAGCAAACGAAACGTTCTACCGGTCGCCTTCATACTCACCCCGGTGCGGCTTGGCGCCGGCTCTGATACTCAGGTAGCAAGGCCGGGGTGGGCGAATGATTGGAAAGGGAGTTAGGTGGGAGTTTCTTCATGGTATGTATTCAAATCTTGTTGCGGATTGTATACACTTACTAATCTTTTGATAGGGATTGGGCATTGAACAATACTGAACAACACATCCAAGAGACACTTCTCGGCGCGAGTGGTAATATCGGAATGAATGGGAGGAAGAGTTTAGCGGTTTGTTTAATACAATGGCAACATATTCACCTTGAGGTTTTCCACTGATTGCCGTGATCGTTACAAGAATGACGGGGAACTGATCCTTGTCCCTGGTATGTAATTTGTGAAATGTATTGCATATCCATCGCCTCGCTGCGAACGATCCAACTCTTCAATAGTTGTGATCGTAAGAGATAATGCTAAATGTGTGTACATGGTGCTGGTGGTAGTATTCACAACGAGATTCGGAGAATGTAAGTTTTCTTTTCACCCAATTTCTTGAAGTACAAATCACTAACACATCATCAGACATATACCTGCCGTCTTCAAACCTTGGCCATTTCATACCGGGGTCACTCCGAAGACTTCGTCACAACCTCCACGCCTGTCTACTCGCCAGGGCATATCGGCTACTTGCCTGATGCTGACCAATATAGAGTACTTGGACCACGCGTCCAAGACTCTTAAACGCCTGTAAGGGTGCTTTATCTGCATGGATGGGTTGGGTTGGCATTTATAGACCAATGTTCCAACTCAACCCATCCAAGTACCATGGCACTAAGAAGGGTGGTCTGGTCAATCCAGCCGTTGACATGTGGTTGTCTTCCTTCGGCAAAGTGATTAGTAAGTTTCTTAGCTCTTACTTTCGTGTCTGATGTCTGATGCTGATTTTGAATAGGATAGAATCGGGCACCATTTCAATGAAGAGTAAATCAAGGAGATCGGAGAGATGAAAAGTCTTTTCGAAGCGATTGATGAATGAACGGATCCCGTTGACGACGATGAAACGGGTTTAAAATCTCTCACGACTGCATTGAGTTTTCTGCACAGAACTGTCTGTAAGTTTTCCAGTTCCAAGTTCATTCCCATGCTAGAGTTCTTTAAACGGATTTGTACTGACGCAATAGTAGTCTGATCCATCACTTCAAACTTCCTCTGAAGTCCTTTATTGACTAAAAGACCACTTCAGTGGCAATTCCTCTTGGCCTCGGTCATTGAAAGAGTCCTGTGGACCTTCTCGGAAGACCGGAGTGCACCGCTCCTTCCATTCGTCCGACATCAAGATCAGTGGATGATGCACCCTTCTGGTGGTGATTCAATGTACGTATTAGGACCTCACACCATCATCACCCATTTCTCTTGTTAGTTGGTACTAACATATTCTCAGCTCGACATGGCAATGGAGAAAGGTGACGAGGAGGCTATATCGCCAACTCTAGCCTATAGAGAGAACGAGAAGACGTGAGGTTTCTTTCGAATTTTCAAGAAAGACTCAAGAACTGATGGTGAGAAGTGGGGGCTAGATCTCTCATACCTCTACCAGGGGTGGAAGTCCCGGGCGGCTGAAAAAATCGTGGTGGAAATCTGTCATTACTGCTACTGCAGATATTGTATATAGACAGTCATAGGAAATGAAATGAAGTTTCCCGTAGCCGCTTCGGCGTGCATCTTCATATGATTTGAGTGATATTCATCATGCGTGGAGATTGGGATGGTTGTCTTTTGGTATCGGTAAGTTTCTTTGTCCTTATTACTGGTCGAATTATGCTAATTCTCTTTGCACGTAGACAGTGTGTCTGTGGTGATAAGTCTTCGTCCTCGGATGTCTGATAGGATGTTGAGAGGTAAATCATCATTTAATGTCTTGGATTTTGAACTCGTGCTAATGAAAATCTACCAGCTCTACTCCGCTACTTGGTTTCATAACGAGGGATCTCAGTCACGACCTAACAGCTTTCCTCATCAACCATCTTCTTTCTCATGATGATTGAATCCAAGCACCATTCTATGGAAGTTCAAGATTTGAGCTCCTCCTGCAGCCAAATTGCAAGTCTTAGCTCTTTCTGGCCAATTATCAATCAAGTCAAGGGGTAGTCATCGAAAGCGGTTCCTCCGAACTGAAAGCAACGTTGTTATCCTGATTTTTGAAGGAAACATCAGCAAGCACCATCCACTAGCATTGGTCCTATCCTCATTGCTGAGGTGCAAAACCAAGCACTAACCCTCGACTTTGTTGGGGCTCTTAAGTTCTGTGGAGAGTTTCTTGACGATCCGACACATTTGCCTGCCAGTCCGGAAATTCCTCGATAATTTCCAAGCCACTGTCCAGAAGGAACATTTGAAAGCATCCAAATTCTCGGGGCGAAGAGCCACCACCATTCCACTTCATTGGTGCGGTGGAGACATTCTCTAGAATTCACCACATTTGCCTTCCTATGCAAGAATTTCATGACAATTTCCAAGCCATGCTCGAGTTGTCCAGAAAGAACATTTGAAAGCCTCCATATTCCTGGGTGTGCAAAATCGAGCACGACCCCTCGATTTTGGGTGTCACGACTCCCTATGCAAGAATTCCATGACAACCTCCAAGCTATTGCTCGAGTTTTCCAGAAGGAACATTTGAATGCCCCCTAACGGGTGCGAGATCAGACGCCCCCACTCGATTATGGGCTCTCACACCCAGTCGAACCAACCACAATCGAAACCGATCCTCCTCCCGATACGTCCCCCGCCTACATCGCCTCCACATCCTTGAGCTCCAAGCGCCGCGGTTTCCGACGCTCCTGGACAGCACCAATCAACGGATTTAATTTCACTGGTTTCGGTGTTGGTGGCGTGGCCTTCACCATGCAAAGCTAGTTCCTATGACTATTGTAGTCGGTAATACGAGGTTTGAAGCTGTTCCTTATGGACGTCCTATCGAGGACATTGGAGCTGGTGCATGCATTGTCAATAGACAGGAGTGCATGGACTGGAAAGATAAGTTTGAGGGGGAAATTGAAGAGCAGATACTGCAGGGATTCTCCAAGATTCGCCATGTTTACTTTCCGGTTCAGGAATTTCACGATAATTCACAATCTGCTAAGATTGTCCAGAAGGAACATTTGAATGCCTCACAATTGTCCGGTTTCCTGGCAACTTGCTGCCAGGAAAAAGGAAGAGAGATAAGCGCTGGAGCGTCGTTTGGCAGAGCCGCACTTGTTGCGACGCTCTCTGCCCACCAGAAGGAGCATTGGATTTTTTTTAGCAAACTAAAATCCAATTGCTGGATTGTCCAGAAGGAACATTTGAATGCCTCAGCAATTGCTCGGCCCTGTTTCCCTGCGCCCAGTGCTATGGGCAGGGAAATACTGGCCTCAGCCCGTCAGCAACTCTAGACCAACGTATGGATGACCACGCAGGAGGGGAGGAAAGGAAGGGGGTAGGTCTGGAAAGTGCAGGTCGGAGGAAATCCGAGCGCGAGCATGAAATCGTAAGTACTTGCCAACAAACAGCCTTCTTATCTTCATCGCTGATTCTATGTGATATATAGATCTTCGCAAGTGTCCAGAAGGAACATTTGAATGCCTAAACAGTTGTCCGGGTTTCTGGCGACTTGCTGCCAGAAAGCAAGATGAACGATTAGCATTGGAGCGGCGCTCTCTGCTAAATAATAAGAAATGAAGCATTGGAATTTTCAGAAATCTGACATGCAATTGGTGGATTGTTCGATATCGTCTTCATCGTGTGCCGTTTTGTATGTTTGATATTGGAGGGGGTTTCAAGGTGGTATGAGATTGAACGAGGTCTTGCATCATTTGTTGATGGCCGCGTGGGATTGGGAGGGCAGCGGTGGAGGGGTTGAAGATGGAGAAGGTACAAAGATTGGCGGGGTTTGAGATTATGATCATGTTTAATGTGTTATGGTAGCTTTACTTTATATAGCAATATATTCCGTTCACTCTAGCCGCTTCGGCGTGGCTTCTTGATGTGTGTTTTTGAGGTTCGTGGCTTTCGTGCACTAATTTTGCTTGAATTTTTTCAGAATATAGCTGGTAAATACCAGGAAAAGGATGGTGACGAGCTCTAGGACGCAGCAATACCAAGCTAAGCTTGAAGGTTGAAATGACGCTCGAACAGGCATGCTCCTCGGAGGAACCGGGAAATATGCTGGATATTTGATGCAGATACCAGCGGGTGCTCATTTCTTTTGAGGTAAGTGAACTTGGAAATAGACCTTATCGTAGTAGATTCTGGCTAATGATAATGAAAGTAGCTTTGGAACAGGACGGCGATATCCATGTCTTAAGATGGGATAGTTACCACAAGTCTTTGGAAGAGACATTAGCATTCTAGATCGTCATCTCCAAGACGGAGATGATCTCAAAATCATCTCTCCGGAATTCGACAGAGTTCAAGAGAGAAATGTTTCTCTGTGCGTTCCAGTATTCCTCAAAAGCAAAGTAAGAAGAAGAAGGCAAGACGTTTGGGACTTTATCTTCCTGGCTTTGGAAATGGGGAAGGGAGGCCTTTCCTCTCCCCTCTCTCCCACCCCCAAACCTGGGAGGAGATGAGCAAAGCTTCTCCATACGTTCTAGTATTCCTCAAAAGCTTCATTGGAAACTTGGCGAAGATAAATTTAATGATGCGACAGGAGGCAATCTGGGGATGTGTAAGCTTATGGGAGGAACTACTCGAGAGAATCGACCGGTAAACCCGGCTAATTATCCGGCCAATTCTTTTTACATTGGAGTGAAAGGATTTCGAGGTACCGAGATTTGTGTCAATTGGAGTTTACTGAAATTGCCGCCGATAGAAGGTGATAGAGCTTTACATGGCCACTTTTAAGAATGGAGAGCGATATAACTAGTCAGCATTGAAGCAGGCTAGACACGAAGAGGCGGGGCTACCTACTCCAAGAGCTGTCATCAAGATAGCTAGATGGCGAACGTCATGAGAACTTGGACCAGTGTGGCTGACACACCATAAGCTCCCTCTATGAAAAGGCAACAGACACCTCTCCGCGCGTTATATTCGGCATGGCATTGCCAACAACACCGACTCTCGATACCTCCTTGCCGCTCCCACCGTCTTCGTCTCCGACACCCAAGTAATCTGTGAATATTCTTCACGGGTTCTCGGAGACACAAAGCCACTCACACTTCGCTCGTTCCTCGCTACAACATCCCACATTGAGCATGGACCTACTTCCTTCCTTTTCTTTGGAAGAAGAGCTTAGCGAAGCCGAAAAACGCATCCAAAAGGCAAGCATCTCCGAAATCGTTAACAAGCATGGGGTTTGCTCGAGTGCTTTAGTTGCAACTCCAGATCTTGCTGGCTTGCTTTACCTCTACGACGGGCAAGGTAACTGAGGACGTTAAATGATAACAACGCTGAGCAGCAGGTCATTCGTATCAGAATGATCAAACAAAGCGATTCGAAGTACGGCTCTTGCTGCAAGACTTACCGGCAAGGTAACTGAAGACGTTCACGCTACGCATCCTTGGCCCAAGGGCCCGATTTTTCGTTTGGTCGGCGAGAGGAGAAGACAAAGCTCGAAACCCCAAGGTAAGTTCCCTATTCCACAAATTCATCTGGTCCAAATACTCATTATAATTCTAGGTTGCCGGATGAAGTTTACTCAGCTATCCTCACCATAGGAGGGCTGAGGTACAGAAGAATTCTGGGAGACGATCGCTCATTCTCCGCCTGATACTTCAGGTCATGATTCTTCGGGATGCACCGAATGGTTCTGTGACAAGTCCAATTGTATAGCCTCCAGACGAAATCTATTCAAAGGGGTACAACGTGAGGAGAGCAGCCGTTGACCAATGAATGTTGTTGCCTCTTTTGAGGAATAATGTATATAAGAGCATGACCCCAACCATGCAGAAGATTAGTTTGAAGCCTGAAAATAGTATCAATTGCCAGATTTTTGAAAATCATATTTCGTCGTCTAGTATTTGTTCCACATTGTTCCACATTGCGATTTCGTTTTTTTCTGAGAGCAGACGCTGAAAGGATCAAGAACGGGAGTCTGTAGGGCACTGAAGCGTTGATATGTTTGATTGTTCCCAGTAAGAAGACTGATGTAGTGAAGCCAAATTTGACATTAATGGATTTCAAATAGCAACGAAAGACCTTTCCCACCAGGCGTGTTTTGGCATGCAATTTCGGTTCGAACTGGCAGAACACAGTGGTGAGTTTGAGAAATATCGTGATTCGAATCCGGACACGACCCCATAGCAGGACCTTTATAGTTTGGTTCAGAATGACTGTCAAGCTTTTGTTTCCAGACTACTGTGACTCCCAGTCGTCTTGTTATTTGAGAAATACTGTGAAAGCGTGAGCCGATATTGAGCATTAATGTCACCTCTTACACGATTGAATTCAAGGGCAACCAAAGCTCCTAAGTGCGATATTGGGTTTAGAGCTCTGGTTGACTTCCCTATTGAAAGACAGGACCATCAGTAGCGGAGGTGACGAGTTCGTAAGATCGAGTTTCGAAAATGACATCCTCCAGCTAGACTTCTGAAAGCAAGTCGTCCATCGACACTTTACAAACAGTCTCGGCTTTTCGTTGCAAATACATCCTAAGTAACGTTTCCTATACCGGGAAGTATGCGACTATCAAACTATACAACACTTTTGCGGATACGAGATCGCCGAGTAGATTTAATTTTGCATTGATGATAGTAGATCCATCTTAGGGAAAGAAATGGCAAAGTTTTGTGCACTTAAATCTAGAGCCGCCCGAGGGATACAGGTATGATTTGCTAACCAAAATCACAAGATTGAGCGCACCAGCTTTGTAGAGACTAAAGCACCGAGAGGATGAGAACTATGCGAGAAGCGGTTTCTGGTACCATTGAATGGAAGAACAACAGAACTGGAATTCGTAAAAAGGATGGAATGAGGATTGAAAGATGATAGCTCAGAGAGGAGAGATAGTGAGGTGAAGATATACGACCTTAGCGAGTCTAGGAGAGCTGGTTAGAATCTACCCTGAGATTTTAAAACCAGCCTCTTACTTTGAGGATGGAACCATGTCAACTGAAAGCTATGAACTTGTTCTTAGATTGATGAGATTTCATCGGTGGAGTGTAGCAGGTGGTCGGTGGCGAGCGAAAGTCGGCGAGACTATCGATTTACGTGATGTTATCTGGAAGGAAGTTTAATCGAATAGTGTTGCTGGTTTGGCTGAAATGATATGCAGAAGTTGATGTTTGCTGTTCCGCAATAGCAATCGATTCCATATTTTGGATTGTCCTTGGAGAGAAAAGGGGAGTTGCAGAAAGCTTGTCGACAATTAACTAGCTCTAGTGCGAGACAGCCTTCACTTTCGGCTCTCAGCTTGACGAGATGATGATACCTCTCAAGAAAATTGATAACTCATTCCTACCATGAAAGGTAGAAAACCGTTGAGGAGCATCATTCTCGCCAGTCTCGTAGAACCATATTCGGGAATTATCGTCATGGGAGAAAAGCAAACGGAGAACAATGCACATCAACTTGTCAGAGCTCGCGCAGACATCGCCTGAATTTCTCTTCTGAGAAACTCTACCTATATAAAGTACTTGCCTTCATTGGCAATAGACATGCAAATATTTGAGTTGCATTCTGGAAGGAGCAGAGACAGAAGTAAACGTCGATATATATCATCTTGATACATCCTCCAATAGCATGGGGTATGTTTAACTCTGCTAAATAACTAGACATCTTGAATATATTCAAACAAGACGATGCCAAATAATAATGAATGGGGATGTGACCAAACGAAATACTTTGTCTGTGCTGGTGTAAATTTGTTCTCCCGTTGCCAAATATATCTTTTTTGAAGAGGGTCTTGGCATTCAGAGATACAAATGGTGATGAACATTTTCAACTCATTCAGAAAATGGCAGATATGTTTCATCCACGGTTGCTGAAGACTTTCAAGGAGGAATGAATCATTCATTCTCTCTCATCCACACTTACCCATTTTACCATTCCATCAATTCAAATTGTGAATGCCGAAACCGAGGAAGTGAAGTGGAGTGGAGGACTGGAGGACCGTGCAGTACAGTACTTATCTTGATCACGTGTCAGCAGATCCTATCAGCACGATTTTTATCTGAGCTGAGGTAGGCCGTATTCGTACTAGCGTCTCACAGCTACTGTGCCTTCCGATAATTAAGCGTTCAGGCTTAGCAGTTCTCCGTACAACAAAGAGTTTAAAGAGTTTGTCAACTTCGCCCCAAAAGCCCTTCTTTCTCTTACATCTCCATCTTCATCAACGTTCTTTTCGACATCAACACAACCACAACTTCACGTCTTTACGACCAGGTTTTCGCATCAAAAGAATTTGTACAATTGGAAAAGATACTTGCACTGTCGGGAAAGAACTTAAGGAAAAGGAAAACAATTGATTTGGAGGGAAAAGAAAAAGAATAATACAAAGAAGAGAGAAAGAAGAGTGGATCATCTTGGTGGTGCAAAATTGTGTTTGGTCTTGTGGAGGAAAGCGGCAGTTTTCAAAGAAAGAAAGAAACATCACAATAGCAGTATTATCTGCAATCTTGTACAATCATTTCCTTTTGAGAGAGCTTTTTCTGTGTCACCAGAGTTATCTCCAGTGATCGCAATCATACTTGATTTCACTTCATTTTCTTGAACGGAGAGAAGAATCTTGATATTGCACCGGTCGCATTCACGAACTATCCCTTCTACCCTTCCATATTCCATCATATTAACTTATCCCCAAGAGTTTACTTGATCTTATTGAGTGCATTGGAAGAGTAGTTTGTTTCTCTGTACACGCCAACGAAATCGATTTATTCAACTCGAGGATCAACAACTTCCTTTACAACTCCAACTTTTGATCAACTTAACCAACAGCAGTCATGACGTCCTCCGTGTTCTTCAAGTTCAGATCCCAAAAGGAACCCTCTAGAGTTGAATTTGATGGTACTGGTATCTCCGTATTTGAACTCAAGCGTGATATCATTATCAAGAGTGGATTAGGTGACGGAACCGATTTCGATCTTCAAATTTACAATGAAGCAGACAACGAAGGTAAGCATTTGTTATATTCCAAACTAGATGTCGATTCTGATGCTGACCATCATAGAATATGATGACGATACTACCGTTATCCCACGATCAACTTCGATCATCGCTCGTCGATTGCCTTCCATCAAGCCGGGAGCAGGAAGAGCTGCCAGATACATGTCGGGACAAATGCCGATAAAACAAAAGAATTCGTCGCGAAAAGAACAAGGAAAGCAGGCAAATGCAAAGGCCGTTGCATCTACACAAGGGTTGGCACAAATGAATAGTGCGATGACTGAGGAGGAGAAGATGGAAGCTATGTTTCAGGCTCAAAGTGATCAATGGACGGCACAACAAGAAGATATGGCCAAGTAAGTTAATTTCTCCTTTCCGATCTAGTAATCTGTTCTAACAAATCTATAGTCAAACCCCAGTCTTCCGGCCAGGTGGTAAGAAAGGTCAACCCCCACCAAACGTTCCAGATCATGAACCACCAACTGGTTATATCTGTTATCGATGTGGAGAGAAAGGTCATTGGATTCAGGTCTGCCCTACGAATGATGATCCAAATTTCGATAACAAGGCTCGGATTAAGCGTACAACTGGTATTCCAAGATCTTTTTTGAAGACTGTAGAGAAACCAGTTCAGTTGACCAATGATGGTACGGTGGATGATACAAAGACCCCATCTGGTGTGATGGTAAATGCTGAAGGAGAATTTGTCGTTGCTGAGCCTGATAAAGCTTCATGGGAACAATTTCAGGCTAAGACCAAGTCATCTGCTGCTGCCCAGAAAGCTGCTGCTTTAGGAGATAAAGTTTTGAGAGATAGAGGATTGGAATGCGCGCTCGACATGAGAATATTCATAGATCCAATGAAGACGCCCTGTTGTGAGAAGACGTATTGCAATGACTGCATTACTAATGCTCTTATCGAAAGCGATTTCACATGCCCAGGATGTCAGACTGATGGAGTATTGATTGATGATCTGAAGCCTGATGATGAGATGACCGAAAAGATCAAGACTTATTTGGCAGAGAAAGATGCAGCCGCTAAGAAAGAAAAAGAAGACCAAAGAGCTAAAAGTCCTAGCGTAAAGTCTGAGGCCACCAAAACGCCCCCCCAATCTAAAGCATCAATAATGGCAGGAAAAGCCAAATCGCCAACACCAAAGCAATCACCTAAATCAAAGTCACCAGAAGTCTCGAAGGTCTTGAAGAATAGTCCTAAACAAGGAAAATCGGTTACCCCAGTTGTTAGTGTTCCTGGTGCTCCGTCAGGACCTCAGGGTAAAAAGCGACCTGCAGATGAATTACTCGAGAATCCAAAAATTCCCAAAGGACCAAAAGCTATGCGTCAAAAAGAATCTGCCATGAACCCACAACAAAACATGATGAACGGAATGAACGCAATGAATGGTATGAATGGGTTTCCAAACATGAATAACATGCAACAACAATTCTACGGCAACGCAAATGGTTTCAATAACGGCATGCCAAACATGAACATGATGAACCAATTCGGTATGGGAGGTATGAATCCAATGATGGGCATGAATCCTATGATGGGTATGAATTTCCCGGGTATGAACAATATGCCTATGTTCAACAACTCAAACGCATTTGGTAATATGAATCCCATGATGAATGGAAATATGCCACAGATGAATGGCATGGGTAGAGGAATGAATGTACCAAATGGTGCAGCAGCTGGATTTCCTAATCAACAAAAGACTGTTTTTGCGGAACCTTTACCAAACGAAGAAGATAATGCATATTTCAGAAAACCGGTCAATCCTCATAGACATGTGGGAAGACAGAGGAGGGCGAGACCGAGTGATTACCGGGAACTTTAAAGGAATTTTGTGATATCAGAACTGATTTCCTCCGTTATCATTGATTTCAAAAGGTCATCAAGGGGCTCTTGCTTGAAATAAAAAATAACGGCTGGAGATTAAATACAACATCTTGATACCAGCACGTTGGCTTTTTCACAAAACCAATTTTTCTCAGGATCTGGCTGCTATTATCTCTGGTTTCAGATTGCCAAAACTCTCCGCATGTTCAACAACAATCAGCATCGTCACAAGGCTTTGCATCGCAGTGCAGGATTCTTTTTTCCCCACTAAGGCTTTTCTTTCTATCTATTTTCTTCTCTTTTTTAACTCTTTACTCTCTTCTCTTTCAAATTATACGCACGAAACGAAATACACTAGAAACGAATGGACATGGGGTGGGCGTGGCATTGGGAGGCATATTGCGGCTTACATGTAGTTTGCTTGCTACAGGCAGAAACAGACATTTTTGGTGTTAAGGTTTTTACTTTGGGTTATGTACCATTGGGATTGGGATTTGCGATTTGCAATTAGGATTGCAGTCTGGGATGGCATGGATATCGTTGCATTTGCATCTACATTTGAGGATGGGAGAAGGAAGGCATTTTCATGATTACGGTGAATGATGGGGCGGGAGGGCTTTTGATAGGAAGGACGAGTTATGGGAGTGCAGAGGAAAGGGGGATGAAGTACATAAAATGAATTGGGGTACATATTTGCAGATGAGAGATAGTAGATACCTTTTTGCGGGAATGGCGAAGTGAATGGATATTTTATCTGAATACTTATTAGATACTTGATGTGGTTTATGTGATCGTGATGTGATGTGATGTGATGTGATGTTTTATGATGTGTAATTTGCTTTGTGTGATGACTGACAAGTTTTCGATTAATGTACTCTTCTTATGCACACACCGATATCCAGCAATGTCGTTGTTCACTTCTACCAAAACCTCTTTTTTCGTTCTCGTCTATTGCCATAGAGGTTCTTCATATTCACATCCTATTTTCACCATGCTATTTCATTCGACACTATACCATCTCGTCCCCTTTCATCTTACCCCATATCATCTCACCCAATCTCTTCTCATCTCTTCACAACTCACGAAAGATAGCACCACCTCATCTTATCTCATTTACCTATTAATTGATCTACGAATTCACAGAAAACATGTTGTGTTTTGTTGTGTACTGAAATGCTTATGGCATGGAATCACAGGACAACGACACGAAGATCCAAGCTCCCATGGGTGCCGACAGTGATATAATTCTGGTGTTGTACTGAAGATGGAAATGTGAGGGGGAGGGGAGACTTTTATGATGGGGATGGGGGTTGAGAGAGAAGAGGGGGAGACGTAAGCTAGGGTGGTGAATGATTCAGATATCGGTGTCATGAAACCGGGGCTCGCAGTCACATGTTGATGCTTACCTGGGTATGGGAATGAGGTGACGATGTGGTTGATCAAGTGAATCGAGTTCAAAAAGTACAGGAGTGAAGTTTGAGGGTCCAGATGAGGAAGAAATATCTATCTACATAAAGCACCGTTTTCCCTGGTGGTATGAGATTAGTATCTAGGAGTCTTGTAAATTCAGAAACCCCCTACATGTGGAATTGGATTCGGGGCTGGAATGCACCATAAGGTATGGTTTGTTCTAGTGATCTTAGAGAGCTTGCTCTGATGATGGGAACATGATTATTATAGAGTTAGGTCCGGAAGATGGTGGTTAATTTATTTTGGTGACAATTGGTGTCGCGTGTGAGAGTGACGGCGATGAATGAAAGGTAAGAATGAATAGTAAAGAATGACAACAAAGACTCCCATTTGAAGCAATTAAACTCCAATCTATACAAATCAGAATGCAAGATCCCGTATTTTAATGAGTGTTCTATGAGCTATAACCCCGGGAAATAGTGAAGGAACAAATACTGTTTGATTTTCATCAGCAGCATAGAGACTACAATCTTTTGGTAGCAGCCGATCAGTCAGACGACTTCGGTATTCTTACTACCTTTTGTAGCCAGATCTCAAAGTTGTATGACATCCTTATAGCATGAAGCCAGCCTTTTGTAGTTGGATTTGGATTTAGTGAGTGGATTTTGATAAGCGGGGTCAAGAAAGAGATGGAATTGGTAAATATACTTGATTCACTTGACAACTTATCATCCTCAAGAGATCGACCCAGCTTCAGAAGTTGATTCGCCTTCTCCCTTCTTGATCATGCCTTCTAAACGCTCGAGAAGGTTTTCTTGTTATATAAACTCCCTCTTTTTAATACATGAGGAGTAAGAATGACTAAATGAACTCCAGCACAAGGAGCCTTCATATGTGGGTGGGAAAATACAATTGTTTCCATCTAGTTGATGGATCATCAAAGAAGATAGTGTTGTTCTGATTAGTTCCGTGGCTGTAAGATTTAGAAGTGAACATTGATGGCGATGAGAGTATATTCTGGCGGTAGATATCTAGGTAAATAGGTTCTTGACAGCAATTTTTGCGATTAATGACAGTGAGGTTTTTTTGGATGGATTATTAGATGAGATGAGAAGTCCGGAAGAATATTTGTAAATGTCTTTATAGGTTTAAATATTTCGAATTATCAAGAACATTAGCGCCAATGTTAACAGGTGTGTCAAATCTTTCCTGCATGGCAGTAAAGACTTGGCTAGTGTCTCATGAAGATCCGGAATGGATAGGTGAGCGGGTACATATAACACTCGCACTTGAAAAATGGAATATGTCAATCAGAATTTGGTGGAGAATCAGAAAATGCGGGGGAGTACCTAGGTAACCTTAGTGTTTATACACTTTTATAGTACTGTAATGGGATATAATATGAGATGAGATAAGATGAGAGATCGAATTTTTGCTGTCATTGTAAACCCAAAAAGGTGCATAGTTGGACGAAAATCCCGGCGTATAATCCTAAAATCTCTTGCTCTAATTCAGCCTCAGTAGTTTTGACAACTAAGCTATAGTTAAGAGGGGTCTTTGGTCATGATCGGGTAATGGCAGGCATGCTGGTAGTCTAATTACGGATCTAGAGAGAAGTATCTTGTGATATATATAGAGCTCTGGTCAGATTATGAGATGACCGGGGAGCGGGGTAATAAACAAGTTATTGAGGGGCTTTCTGATTCATTCACTTGAACTTGTGGCTTTGTGAACTAGGTATGCTTGATAACAAATATGTATAGACCTTTATTTGAGTAGTTGGTAAATTTTCTCGGTATCTTGCAAGCAATACGATTCCACGCGCGCCTCTTCGAGCTAGATCTTTCTGTCTAGTAGATATCAGCTCTCATAAAAAGAGGGATTTTTGATGTTTGAAGTGGAAGAAATGGAGAAATGGCTTGTAATCAGAAAAGTGACAATAAAATATGAGATGAGATGGGATGGAAGGGGAGTGCATGGTTATCAATGTCAACATTGTATAGAAAATTTCAATTAGGAATGCCAATTATGGTGCCGAAGGGATAATATTACAAAGACTAATAAGCTCTCCATTTTACAATTACACAATAGTGTGAGTCTTATGAGGTTGGTCAACCATGATCCTTCTTCCGCTCGGTGGATCATACTCCTGGCATTTGGGAGTATTCAAAATTGAGAGAACGGAGGTGATAGCACAGCACTTTATAGACCGTAACAAAAAGAACTGTCCTTCTTGGCTTCCACTAGGATCTACTTACTTCCAAACACTCTGCGGTATTGCTGTGGAGCATGTGAGTTCAACCACCTGATGGGACATATCTTTAAAAAAGAAGGTATGGCAATGGCTGAAGAACCTAGAGGTCTATTTATGCACTGGTTTGGTGATGCCGACATGGGTAGGGTTATGCCGCATGTAGTCGAAAACGAGGAGCGGAGTAGTTCTCGTGGTCCTGGGGATGAGGTTTCCTTCATTCACTACTCCCTAAATCACAATTATTCCACTACTCAGAAAGGAATTGCATAAACTGCTATATAAGCTGGTGATTCATCAAACTGTTTGAAGCCATTAAGCCCAACAAGTTCAACTGAAGAAGAGTTTTATGCAGACCATCGAACCAAGAAGTTGAAAACATTGTATTAAACTAGAAAGACCAAAGGTTTCGGCCAAAGGAATGAAAGACAACGGATTAAATGGTTCTATCGTGCCTCAATTTTTCTCAGATGATATCGGCATATTTGACAACAAAAGTAGGATAAAATGAGATGATGTTGATTGACTCAATCAGTTACCCCGGGCTACTCATGGATATTATGATCCTCAATACCTGCTGATAAGCCTCTTTTACCATTTCTTTTGAGTTGTGAAAGACACAACTTGATGTATGGACAGGCAATCATAGGCTTTGGAATCAGGTCGGATCTAAAGAGAGTTTGTTACCTTTTATGCCCCCTCACGCGTTGTCGACCACCTTTGCTGTTCGGTTATTTGGTGTATAATGCGGGGTACTCTTCATGACACTGTAAAATTATTTTTTGATCATTCACGACTTGATTAGTGGCGCCATACATGATTTAGTGGGGTTTCATGGAGAATAAGCGCGACAGTTTGATATATAAAGCTACTTCTCAGTCCATATGAAAAAAAGTTGTGTAGGCACTGAGGACGTCACCTAATTTTTCAGGCCCGGGGAGATGTGGCGTACAGGCCATATACTAGACTAGTAGCATATCTTACGTAACCCGCATAGCCGATACCCTTAAGTAGCATAGTCTTAGCTTCAATACAAATCAGCTTTACAACCCAATACATTGTGTCTATCATTACAGGCAATTTGCTAGAGATGGACTTATTATGGGTCCATGCGCGAGACCGGTGGCAGCATCTTGAATCTCAGAGTTAACCCTAGTTTGGCCACGTCTTCTGTGATTACGGAAGTGGAGATGACAAAAAAGAAAAGCGGCAGTGACGCTGACGGATGGCAATTGGCTATGCGATGCGAAGATAAGAGAGGATGGATGTAAGAGTTAAACCCCTTTCGATGTACCCCCCTGAGAAGTCTTTGTCGGATGAAGAAGTGAAACACAGAA